GAAGGCTTTTTAGGTCTTTAATATCTGACATTGGGGAAGACAATAATAACTACCTTAGTGTCTCTCATTCTCTTCATAGTAGTTGTCCTTGTCTTTACATATACTGAAATTGAACTTAAGAGACTAGACTAATATCACTCTAAACAGTGAATAATAGTGTTGCTAGATTTTATATCATAATGCTACAGAATTAGCATTGGGTTTCTTAGTGTCTCTTCTTCAGAGTATCTGTTCATTACATCTTGGCATTATATAATCTGTTCCTGTAAATCGTTTAAAAAAAATCTTCCCATGTGTGAATTTCTACATGTATATCTATCCTCTCTGTATTATAGAGGAAAAACAAATCATAACAAGACAGCAAAACAAATTCTTAGAAAAACATGCAATGAAAAAGATACATAAGACCACAATATTAGGTAATTTAACGTAGTTACTGTGCTTTTCTCTTATTATTTTCAATAGACTTGTCCACATCATCAGGCTTAATATAGTTAAGCGTAGTATTACGTAGCTATTTTTATAAAAATACAACTTTGAAAACATTGTAGGACTTGAGAGTGGTTAATAATCAAAACCAGTATGGATATCTTTTACATCTTGTCATCTTCAGAGTAGATGCCTCTACTTTTGGGGTTGATACTATCAAGCATACCAAATTCAAATAAAATCAGCTAAAGCAAAACCGTGGTCTAACAAATCGGATTCAAATAACATCAGTCGTAGTAAGACAATGTAAGTAATACAGAGTTTCAGTTTAAGTTAATAGGAAATTAAGGATAGTTACCATGGTATAACCTGCTATTTTTGGGTCAAATGTCTGTGCCCTCAAATCTGATGTGAGTGGACAGACCGGAACAAATTAAATTCAAACTAAACAGAGTGGTAAGACTACTATGACTTAAATCCTGATACACTATTAACAATGACCTCTGCCTTTTTTTTATAGTGTATCAAAGCTATCTGTACTAGAGATTATAGCTTACGTCTCTGCCTCATGTCTGCTACTCCACTTTACTGCTATAATTTGTCCACCTTACTCCCTCATTCCACTGTCTGCCCCATTCATTGAGGTCTCTCTGCCACTGTTCCTGGAATCCTGGTATCCCTCACTCTCTGTCTCTGGAATGTCCTTCAGCACTCTCTGTAGGGTTAGGTTGGTGGCCATGAGCTCCCACAGTTCCTCCTTGTGTTGGAAACATCTTATTTCTCCACTGATTTTGAGAGAGAGTTTTTCTGGTTATATCAGTCTTGGTTGCAAATTATTTTCTTTCAGGGCTTGGAATATTTCCCCCCAGGCCCTTCTCAATTTAAGAGTTTGTGTTGATAAGTCTGTTGCTATTTTGATAATTTTCCCATTGTAGGTAATCTGCTTCTTTTCCCCGGCTGCTTTTAGTATTCTGTTCTTTTGGTGGGTTTCTGGAATCCTGATTATTATATGTCTGGGTGTAGATCTGTTTTGGTTGTAGGTGGCTGGAGTTCTGTATGCCTCATTTATCTGGATATCATTTCTTTTTCGTAGATTTGGGAAGTTTTCCTTTAATATATCTATGAATATTATTTGTATTTCATTTTTGGTTGCTCCTGCTTCCTCGCTCACATGCTTTCTTCTTAAGTTATATATATCCTTCTAGCCTTTGAATTGTTTCTTCTGGTTTCTCATTATTTTTAAAAGGTCTTTTCTTTCATGATCATATATCATAAATCTCTCTTCAAATTTCAAAAGGCTAACTTTAGTTTCTGTCAAGGCATTTTGCCAGTGTTTAATGGAGTTTTTAGTTTCCTGGTAATCTCTTTGGATCTGTTTCATGTATTCTAGGTTATGTTTAAATTTTTCTTCGAAAGTTTCTCTTTCTTTTGTGATTTCCTCCGTTATTCCATCAGTGTTCTCTTGGGTGGGGCTTATCATTTCTTTAATTAATCTCTTTATATCTTATCTCACTTGGATCAGAAGTATAGTTTTAAATTCATCTATGAGGTCATGAAGGTATTTCTTTATTTTGGCTGATGCTGTGTTTAGTATTGGATGGTTACTGTGCTGGTTCTTGTCTGTATTTACGTCTCCTGGGCTTATTTTCTCATGTTTAGCAGCTGGAGATTTTTTTTTAAATTTCTATCTCTTGTCGTGTTTCTGGTTTCTTTCAGACTGGAGTGTCCTGGGGGGTCTCTGGCCCTCTCTGTATTGCTTAGGGTCTTTCTGAAATGTGCTGACTTGAGTTTTTGCTGCCCTCCCCAACTTGCTGTTATCTGAGGTAGGCAGGGATTCAGGGATGGTGCAGGCTAGCCTCCAGCCTCTGTGCCAGTCAATTGGCAAGTTAGGCTGTACCTTGTGGATGTCACAGAGTCGCGACTATTTTTTATCTGCTTATTGGGTCCCAGGTCTCCTGGGTTCAGCCCCAGGAGATCCTGCCAGTTCTCTCTGCGCCAGAAGCGGCTGACTAATGTCACCATGGCACAGGGCTCTGCCCAGATCCCAGCAGTCCTCTACGAGACCTTCCTGCGCCAGGAGCAACTATCTGATGTCACCAGAGCACTGGGTCTGCCCAATTCCAAGATGTCCTCCACCAGTCCTCTCTGTGTCGCTGATGCCATCATGGCGTCGGGCTCTGCCCAATTTCAAGATGTCCTCCACCAGACCTCTGTTAATTCTTAAAGAAACAGATTGCTTGAACCAAATGTGGATTTGGGGATAGGGAAAGTACTGTCATGCCACATAGCTGGTACATAATGGGGAGGTAACCACATATTGTAGGAGACAGTGACAATATCCCCTGAAGTTGTGTAGGTGGTAATGGTAATTGGAACAGGGAGCAAGAAGAGGTATGGGTTTGAGAGGGAAAATTCCAATGGGTTATTTGGGGAGAGCCAGGGATGGCAATGGACAGGGGCATTTCTGAATGAGGGAGCAGCCCAGTGAAAGCCTCTGGAGGGAAGCAACTGTTTTGTTCTAGACCTGAGAGAAGCCCATGAGTTAATCTGATGATTTTAGGGGAAGGTTTGATGAGGTTGGAGAGGGAGACTGATGCCTTTTGGGTCTTGTAGGGAGTTCAGATTCAAATGTACTCAGAAAGCAGTGATGGACTTTACCAGCTTAATGACCAGATACTACATAGATTTTGAAAAGAATATTCAAGGAGTTAAGAATAGGTGGGACTAGAGTGGAGACAGAGCACTTAACTGCTACGTCAGTTAAGTGAAACTCGACTGGGATGTGGGGCTGAAGAAATGAAGAGACTTAAGAAAATATTTGGTAGAAGTGTTAATGGGCTCTTATGATAGATTGGATTTAAAAATTGAAGGAGGTAGAAATGTTTCTTGGCTTGACCTATTTAAATAAACATTGTATGAAGGTAATGGAAAGAGGACCAAGTTTGAAAGAAGACCACTTTGCAGATGAAAGATTGGTTTCCGTTAGGTTTCCAAGGAAATGTGCTGAAGAGTTGAATGGGTCTAGAGTTCACTTGGAGACAGTCAGGCTGGAGTTTCCTTACTGGAGATTTGGTACTAATCTGTCAGAATGGGTGAGAGGATGTAGGTCTCAGATTGCAATATGCCTAGAGACTGAGGTATTTTCCAGTTTCCGAAGCCCTTTATTTCACCTGTAGTTCTGTAGTTCTAAAATTCAGTCTATTAAATACCTTATTTTGATTTTGTTAATCAGTTGACTCAAATTCTTTAATAATTTTCCTTCAATTTTTGGCAGATCTTGAGCATCAAAATTGGAAAATTAATAACACTTGTTCTTCTATTCTTTACTTTGAAAAAGTGGCTTAGGTTTTGAGAACAGTTGGTGAAATAATTTTATTCTTTCCCTTCTCCAGGCTGACTTTTAAAAATTTTCTTCTTATGTGTATATTTTGTTGAGTCCTATACAATATATATTTTTAAAAATAATTATTTTGATTCTGTAATATCTATGCATGATAAAAATTCAGAAATTACTGATGGAGGGCTGGGGATTTAGCTCAGTGGCACAGTGCCTGCCTGGCATAAGGTCCTGAGATTTGATTCCTTATTCCAAAAAAAAGGAAAAACAAAACAAAACAAAAAAAAAACAGAGGCCAAAGTGTGAGAGAAATTACTGATAGATCTTCCTACCTTGCAGTTAACCAGTTACCTTTCATGAAACTTACATTCCTTAATTTTGTGAATCATTCCATGTGAATTCATGTGGAGCGGCTTTATATTCTTAAGTGGTATTCTCCTGTATGGCATAATATAATCATTCACCAGCTCCTCATTTGCTGAGTGTTACTATGTTAGAAATAGTACTTAAAAATATGGCAAATGATATATTTTCCAGAGGTATATCAGGATGAATTCCAGAGTGGGAATTGCTGGGTCAAAGAATTTAGACATTAATGTTTTTTTAAGGCAGTGTCTCAAAAAAAGAGAAAACTACAAAAAACAAAAATAAAACAAGGGACCCCTCCCCACAAAAAAAAAAAAAAAAAAGATGGTGTTTCATTATGTAGCTCAGGCTGGCTTAGAATTTGCAGTGATCCTCCGGTTTTAGACTTGGGAGTGCTGGGATGAATGTATATGTGCCACCATCCCTGGTCACCTTACAGATTTTGATACTAGTGCCAAATTGCTTTTTATCTAGTTCTTACATCATATACCTTTTCACTAGCAGTGATTAGTATCTTTTCCCCGCATGCATGCTGACCAGTGAGTTACCCAGCCTCTGGCTTCACTGCCACTCGGAGATGAAAAGGCATCACTGTGTACCAGAGGTGCTCCTATTGAGTACTGTAGAATTTGAATCTTACAGTGATTTTGACTAGATTTTATTGAATTAGTGAAATGACTGTTTTACCTTTATGATTGTCAGTATACATAGGTAATTTATATAGTTTTTTCTCTATTGGAAACCACAGCAAGTGGTCTTTTTCATGATTGGAGAACACTATTTAGTACTATACGTGTCTGAAACTATATTATAAAGACAAATGCTTAATTTTCAATGTTTTAAGTCACTACATATTTTTTATTTGCAGGTTTTATCTGAGAGAACCAATATTGAGCTTTGGGTTTGTGCCAACATCATTCGTCTCTTTAATGATGATAATACAATTCCCTTCATTGTACGTTATAGAAAAGAGCTCATTAATAACTTGGATGCTGATTCCTTGAGAGAAGTTCGACAGACCCTAGAGGAGTTGCGGTAAGAAACCCAGGAAGGGCTCAGTGAATGTAAGGGGGTAGAGGCTGTGTGATCCAATGAAGAGAAGTGGAGACAAAGTGAATGACTCTATGCCTTGACAGTTCCAGTGTTTCATTTCCTCGAATTATCATTACCTGAAAATATTCCTCTTCTGACTGAGAAAGTTCTAATGTACTTACTTAGGAGCCTATAGCCCTTTCCCGGTGTGTGTATGCATAGCATGGGTGTATAGCAGTTTTCAGGTGACTGTGCTCCTCTGGATTTGACTGTTGCCTTCTCTCAGATATGATTGAGTGTAGTTGTAAAATTAGCACTGTCAGCAGGAAATGAAGAAAAGTACATGTTGGTCTAAATCTTCAACAGCTTGTGTAAAGCCATCTTCTTAATATTACCAAATCCTTAAATGGAGAGTTCTTTGGAAGTACCAGGTGACTCCCAACCTATAATTGATTTAATAATTTTTTGACTGTATGATGGCCAAAACCATAAGCATGTAGAAAAGCCATGCTTTGAATAATTTGAATTTTAATTGTTTTTTAGCCTAGCATTTTATGCTGTTGGATGCTATCTTGTGATCTTCCTCTCAGCTATGTGATCACGAGGGTAAACAACCTATATCCTACAGTGCCCCGTGTTTTGTAATTTGGTAGGAAGTGTATAGCTCCTTTTTCTATTCTTTTAGGGATAATGGTAATTTAATCTTAGTCAGATATAAGTTTTGTATGGTTATAGAACAGAAAGTACAGTATGTTTTAAAAAATTATATCTTTGGACATAATATAGTAACTCAGAAATATGCATACTACATCCATAAGACTAATCATGTTACTGTTACTCAGAAGCATTTGTCAGACATTGTTCCTCCTTTAAGTGTTTATTGCATGTATACTATAGATATTGAGTTGTTAATGGGTATGTTCTTCAAGTCTGCAACAAGGATCTGATTAAAATTATATGTATATAACCCTTCCACCAAGCTATTCAAAAAGTAATAAGGATTATCTTTACAATAATCCTGATAAGTTTCCTTTATTGTTTGGGGAGCCTATATCTATTAACCTTTCTGTCTTTTTTGTTGAAGTTCTTTTTTTGATACCAGGATTGAACTCATAACCTTGTGCTTGCCAGGCAGGAACTTATGCCACTGAGATAAATCCCCAGCCCTTGTTGAAATTCTTTTAGTGTCAAGGGAATTAACTTACTAGTTTGTGGTGAATTAGTATTTCCTGAAGACACAAAATCATTAGCCAATTAGAAGTAAAGATGACTTGCTAATCAAAGGTATAAGTCTTCTAGGGTGTAATTGAGCGTCAGAGTATGAGAACTGGGGATTATAAATCTGGTCTAAAACGAGAGCCCTTAAATAAATAAAAAAAAAAGTTAAAACAAAAACGAGAGCTCTTATTCTTCTCTAGCTGATCACTGACATGCAGGGTTGCTTATCTGTCCAGTTTGCTAGAGCTTCCTCTGGGGTTTTATATAAAAAATTTCTGGACCAAACAAAACCGTACATAGGGCATCTCTGGAAGACCATCATTTGCAGATTCTGAAGTAAGCTTGGTATGTTAAAGCTTACTTACTATGGACAAAATTAGAAGATTTTGAGACTGAAATTGGGGAAAGTGTCAGAAACAAGAATGGTTTGCTTAAAAAAGTTAAGTACTAAAACAATCGTTATAAGGAGGCAGGTAGAAATTTGATGTCAAGGTTATTATTATTGTTTTCTTTTTAGATTTCTATTAATAGAGGCATAGTTGAATATTAGTAAAAGAGTATAGTGATGTACGTGGAGGTGTTGCCTGGGCCTTAAATCTTTCTTCCAGAATGTAGATATTTATTTTTGGTAATGACATATGGTCTCTACTTTTTCTTAAGCTCAGAATTTTCTATAACTAGAGCTTTGGTGCTCAACTTGTTAATTGCTACTTGTAGATGAGAGGTCCTGCCACTTTTTAAAAAATGGAATGAGAATAGAAAACATAAGAATGTAGTTTATATAGTAAAAGTGAATATTGTTTCTTGAAATATTATTTTAGTATTATGTATGCATAAATTGGGTTGGAAAGTAAAATATATTCATTAGTATTTGTTGCCATTAGAAAGTGAATTAACATGTTCCTCTTGGCTTGACCCATTCATGATACAAACATGACTGTCCCATCAGGTGGCTTGTACTACTGGTGGTAGAAGTTATATAGTCATGCATGTACACTGGTGGTTTAAGCTGCCTGGCAGCAAGATATATGAATTATGACCCCATCATGAAGTTAGATAATATAATTCTGAGTAAGGAAGAAAAATTTCCTGTTTTTTTCTCTAGTTGTTGCTCTTCTTCCTTTTCTGCAGATCAACAGGACATAGTCCTTTTGTCGTAATGACTCTGGCAACTGTTAGTTCTTTTTTTTGGCTACTGGGAATCAAACTCATGACCTTGCACTTGCCAGGCAGGCATTTGTGCTGCTGAGCCATTTCCCTGTCCTGACCATTAGTTCTTAACAACAGTTTTGGGCTACCAGGACTATGAAAGTCATATAGGTTGTAATCTTAAGAACTTCATATTCCACATATTCTTTCTTTTAATTGACAGTCTTTAAAATGTAGGTAGATTTAAATTTCCATCAATCTTTTTAAATCATTCACATTACCTCTTAACTTGCTTGTCATTTGAACAATACCATTATTAGGCATATCCTATAAATAGGATCAGATAATAAAATGAGATGAGAAGCATTATGTGTAACAATAAGATTCAGCTTGATGTGGTATGTGCCTGTAATCCCAGTTACATAGGAGGCTAACACAGGAAGGTCTCAAGTTCAAGAGCAGCCCGGGCAATTTGATGAGATCTTATCTTAGAACTTAGGAAAAAGGAGGGTACGGGGAGTATAGCTCAGTGAGAGACTTCTTGGCTAGTGTGTGAGAGTCCCTGTATTCAATCCCCATTACTGCAAACAAATGAAACAAAACAAACAGTAAAATTGAATTGAAAAACCATGGTAAAGTGGGACACTATTGTGTTCACCCTTTCCATTACCCCTATTTGTATACCGATTTCTGTACGTTGTCCTATATAATGAATAAACTTTTTTACATGGAATCTTGGTTATTTTCAGTGGAGAATGGTATTTAGAAAACAGTTGTGGGTGCCAGGTGTAACCAGTGCAAGCAATGATACCCCACAGCAGTCAGCAATAGTAACTTGGTTTCCAAGTGTCACTCTCCTAACTCCAGGGCTGGGACAGGGAATGAAAGATGAGTTGGGAATATCTTGTAGCAGAGAATGTAAAGTGCCCAAATAATGATAGGGACATGTCCAAAGACTACCACAGGGGTTACTTCTGACCATCTGTGGGGCAATTTGAACATTAAAAATGAATTATAATCACTGAATAAAGAAACCGTGAGTCTCTAGTGATATAAGTAAGTGAATAAAGCTTTGTCAAGGATGATATAATTAAGAGTTGATTCTTTGAAAGAGTAAATAAGATTGATAAACTTGTACCCAAACTTATCAAAAAAAGGAAAGACTCAAATCCATGCAATTAGGAATGGAAAGGGTGAAATCATTACAGACCCTGTGGAAATCCAGAAAATCATCTATACTTACTAAGAACAGTGTAATTACATAGTTCCAAAGTACTTCTCCGCAAAATACTTACTAAGAGGAAATAAACAGTACCAGTGTGATGGGGAAAACCACAAGACACCACCTTAGTCCCATGATAAAAGTTGATTAGTAATGGGGCAGATCGAAATCATTTGCCTGGTATGATGTGACAGAAGAACAGAAGCCACGTTTATGATATCCCTGCAGAGTAGCAGCACGGGAATTTAATTGTAAGGAAACATCAGAGGAACTCTAAAATAACTTTCTTGTAGCTTTCAAAAGTATGAAGACGTTAAAAATCAAAGAGAGACTGTCATAGTGTATGTGAAGAGACTACACACACAACAACTACATGTGCCATCTCATTCTGAAGGGATCACTGCACTGCAAAGGACATTATTGACACAGTTGGTGAAACTTGAATAAAGTGTCAGTTCTGAGGGTATATGATAGTAATCAATCATCTAATTAATTATTACGTGATAGTAATATCAATATAACCATTAATATCAGTAATGTGTTATTGATGGTTACTTTGTGATTTTGTAGGAGTTTGTTATTTTATAGGAAATGTGTACTAATATATTTGGGGATGCTGTTATTCTCAAATGATTTATAGAAAGAAAAGGATTGTTTTAATGTACCTGAAATTTTTCTGTAAAATTGAGAAAGCTTCAAAAAGAAAGTTTTGCTATACAGGTCTTATGTATTACAAAAGTTTTTATTTTCAGGATGGTTGCAAAGAAGGTTCATAGTACAATACAGAAGATTAAGAAGGAGGGAAAGATGTCTGAGTGTTTGTTAAAAGCCCTCCTGAACTGTAGAAGTTTTGAAGAACTAGAACATGTGGTAAGAGACTGTTTTTATGCCTTAATGCCTGAATATATTATGATTTGGATCTTTTTATAATTGAAGACTAAGACATTAAAGGCTAAAATCTTTTAGCCATCGTTATTTAATTCAAAATATTTATCTTTTATCCAATAACTTTTTAAAATGTTAGGCACTTTGGTTTATAAGAATGATAGTAGATAGTTCTTGCCTTTAAGGAGTTCCCAGTCAAGTGAGGAAGGAGAATAGATTATACAAATGCGAAAGTGAATTGAGAGGACTGAACTGGAGACAGACATGATACAGTAGTTGGTACAGTTGGCCCTGCAGCTATTGCCAATTCTGTATTTCATAGTGAACCAAAGTGGGTTGATAATATTTGAAAAAGTTATGTCTGTGTTGAGCATTATAGTTTTTAATTATTATTCCTTAACAAAAAAGTAAAACTATTTACATAACATTTGCATTGTATTAAGTACTTATAAGTAATCTAGAAATAATTTAATGTATACAGGAGGATACACATAGGTTATATGCAAATACTATGTTATTTTATTGAATGGATTTGACATCCGAAGATTTTTGTATTTATAGGACTGGGAAGGGTGTTTCTGGAACCATTCTCCCATGAATATCGTGGGAGGGTTGTATTGGAAACTATGAAAATGGAAGAACTCATTAGTGGAGAGTCTGTGGGTGAGCATGTCAGCTTTTGAGTGTGAATAAAGAGGGAAGAACCTAAGGAGATAAGGAAAAAGTAGTCAGAGATATAGGAGGAGAGTCCAGACATGATGGTACATGGAACACTAGGGAGTAGAGTTTTAGAAAGAGGTAAAGATCAATAGTTAAATGTAGCAGGGAAGTTTGACAAAACAGGCCTAAACAGGTATGTTTTGTAATTAGGAGATCACTCTAGGTTTTTGTGATAATACACCGAGCAAGGTATGTGAGAAGAGAAACCAGATGGTGGTGAGTGGAGGAGAGCATGAGGGTAAGAAGTAGAGGCACTCTGTGCAGACAGCTTTTAGAGGGGCTGGCGTGAGTTGCAGAGAGGGCCTTGCAATCCAGGCAGTGAGCTTTTTAGATGAGTAAAACCAAACAGAGAAGAGTAGGGTAAAGCACATACCACTCTCATGTAGTAGGTGTTGACTAATTAGTATGAATTCGTTTATGAAGGAAGAGGAAAGGATTGGAAAAAAGATACCTTCTCTATTCTCAGCATGGCTTCTAATTTTACATGATAGCTTTAACTTTCATTTAAAAACCAAATCCTGTGGTGTGTTTTCCGGCTTCCCCCCTCTAGTCTGCTCCATATAAATCTGGAAGTAAAGGCACAAAAGCCCAAAGAGCAAAGCAGCTGGGATTAGAAGCAGCAGCCAAGACACTGCTTGAGAATCCTGGGCAGCTCAATCTGCTGTCTTACATTCGATCTGATGTTAAAGGTACCAGCTTTACTTCAAGAGATTGGCTTGCCCGCCCTTCTTTCTTTCCTTCCTTCCTTCCTTCCTTTCTTCGTTTCTTCCTTTTTTCCTTCCTTCCTTCCTTCCTTCCTTCCTTCCTTCCTTCCTTCCTTCCTTCCTTCTCTTTCTCTCTTTCTTTCTCTACAACATGTTAAAAATGGCTTCATTAAGTGATGTCCACACAAAAGAATATTATGACATACAATGAATAAGTGATTGTAATAAATTCTCCATTGCTGAACCATTCAACTTTTCTTTCTTGGTGAAGTGCTTGTTCTAGTCATTTGCCCATTTTTATGTTGTTTCTCTTCTACTTAATAATTTTTAAGTATTTTTAAGATAGTCTTTGTTACTTATATGAGCTCCAAATCTTTTCTGCCAAGCTTATAACTTGTCTTATTTTCTTTCTGCCATCTCTTGGCAAATAGATGGTCTTAGTTTTATTAATTTTTTAAAGGTAATTGGTTTTTTCTTTTTAAAGAAATTCCTTCATATCCTAAGGTTATAAAGATTCTTATAAATTGTCTTTTAAAGCTTTTATTCTACTTCAAAAGTTTAATTATAAAATTCATTTCTATTGTTTTAAAATAATTTCAGTACTATGCACAAGGTATAAATTAAAGTCCTACTCCTACGCTTCAGCTTTGTAGGGAATGAAGTGTCTTTTTTGGAAATTTACCTCCAAGTGTATCTTCTGATTCTTTTGTATGTGAGAAAGAATGAGAGAGGGAGGAAATAAGGGAGACATACTTCTGAGAAGAACCCAGAGAAATGACAGTTTGACTCATGTCAAAATGCATTGGTTTTATTGTCAAAATGAATGTTGGAATGTGTACGTTTTGGATAACAGTGACTTATTTTTAGAATTGCTTTTAGGATTGAGTGGGGAGATTAATGATCTGTTGATTACTTCTGTTTTAAAAAACATTTTTTATGTTTAAAAAACTTGTGTATAAAGAATATATGATGTTTTGATACATTTTGTAGGCATAAAACAAATGATTAATGTATTTAAACAAGACTGTAGGTAGTAATCAAATTTATATACATATACATACATATATATATATATGTATATATATATATATATATACCGGGGATTGAATTCATGATCTCACAGTTTCCAGGCAGGTACTTGTGCCGCTGAGCTGGATCCCTGGCCCTCAATATATTGATCATCTCTAAGTTAACTTTTTTTGTGAAAAAAGCTACTCTTAGCAAATTTCCAGTATATAATGCAATATTATTAGCTGTACCCTTCATTCTGTACAATTAGATTTCTAGGCTTATCAACCTAACTGCCAATAACTGCAAGGTCAGCCTGTGTCTCTGTGTCCCAGCTGTAGTTCTTTTTGGCCTTCTGTTGATTCTTGGAGCTGGGAGGCACAGATGTCTGTAGGGGGCAGTCTCTCATAACAAAATCCATATGATGTACTTAACTAGAAAATCACAGTATACCATAGACTGGTTTTATTTTATACAATCTAGAAAATTATTTAAAATTTAAATTTGTAATTTAAAAATAGAGTATGTATGTCTTTAAAACAATTATCTTTTCATATACTAATGTATCTCAGTATATGTAAAAATAGACAATAAAAAAGTAAATGGTATTATTTGAAGTTAGAGATGGTTAAAATAAGTAAAATTCAAATTTGCTTAATCCTAAGTGTATTTTTAATTAGATTTCAAATGATTGCAGCATTTAATATTTTAATAATAACTGAGACTGAAGAGTCAAGCCTTAAGGTTAACCACAGGGAGAACAAGAACTATCTGTGCTCGTTATGGAATACTGGAGCTTTTGGAATGCTGAATACACACAGCTTTATTGCCTGTTTTCTCTTTTTCTATTTTTTACTTCCTTTGATGCAAAGGTCTACTTGGTTCTTACAGATTCAGTTTTACTGGGTAGGTTTTTTTTTGAGACAGGATGTTTTGTTGCTTTATAGTGCAAGTGGGACTTGGGCTTACTGTGCAGCGCAGGCTGGCCTTGAACTCATGGCAATGCTGCAGCCTCCTGACTGCTGGGATTACAGGGGTGTACTACCGTGCCAGCTGTCAGGACGGGTTCTTGCTGACTATATCTCTTTGATGGTTGTATGTGATAGTGTTCCTGGGGTACATGATCGTGAACACCAGGTAGTGGTATTTCTGATCATGTGGCTAGCTCAGGATCCAGGATAGTTACGGTAGTACTTGCAACCTTGCTTTATGTGCTTGACTCCTTTTTTAAAATCCCGATTACAAATTGGGAAGAATTATAATTAATCACAAATAAGCTGGGTACTGATTTTTAAAGTTCATGTGAAAAATTTTCTCTTCTTGAGATCCTCTCATGATACATGCATACACACAACCACTTTCCATTGTATTACTATTTTTTAATCAGAATTCCTGCAAGAAATATTTAAGAAACCAGATATTTTCCCTGGCCTCCTATTAGACATTTCTTGCTTGCCAAGACCAACAAGAATTTGGTTTGAATCAAAAAGCTATCCTGTGCCACAGATGGACTGTGTTCTGGAAGAGGCAGCACATCTTTGGGTTATCCGCAGTCAGGAGCGGGATGTTCTGTTGTAGATGCGAGGTGGCAAAGTGAGGATGAAGTGGAACAAAAGGGTCGACTGATCAATTTTTTGTTACAGATTTGGAGGCTTGGAGATTGCGATGTTGGAAAGAATACATTATGAGGAAGGGATATAACTTTTGGATTTTGTGGACTTTATTTCCTCCTGATTTCACTGAAATGCTAGACTTCTGGAATTCTTGTTATCCTTGGTTATATTACTAATCCCAACAATCAATTCTATATGAATGGGGAAGGAGCTTTTTCAAAAATGATAAGCTTTCTTTTCCAATTCTTTTCTGCTTGGACTGAGAGAGATATGTGATATCAAAGAGCTTCCCAGCTGACTAATAATTTCTACTTCCCTCTGAGACCTGCTCTAGAGGCAGCCCAGAGCCCCTCCCTAGCTAATAAATACTAGAGTCATGTCACATATTCTATGAAACAATACAATCTCGCAATCTGGGAATCAATCAGTCTATCTATTTTTTTTTTTTTAAATTTAACTTTATTTTTTGGGACATAGTCTTCCTACATAGCCCAGGCTGACCTTGAACTCACAATGATCCTCCTGCTTCTTTTTTTTTTTTTTTTTGGTCTTTTTCATTTTTATCGGTACCAGGGATCGAACTCACGACTGCCTGCTTGCAAGGCAGGTGCTTATGCCACTGAGCTAAATCCCCAGCCCCCTAGATCCTCCTGCTTCTTGAGTGCTGGGATTTTAGGTATGCACCTCCATGCCTGGTTTAAAATCTGTTTTTTTTTTTTTTTTTTAAGGTATGGCACGTTTTTACTACATGGTTCAGGCTGGCCTTTTTTTTTTTTTTTTTTTTCCAAGATGGCCTTTAATTCACCTTATAGCCCAGGCTGGCCTTGAATTCATGGCCATCTTCCTGCCTCAGCCTCCTGAATGTTGGGGTTATAGGCATGTAGCACTGTACCCAGCAGAATCTATATTTTTAACAAGTATCTAATGTATTTTATTTTTAGTTTCTCAGACTATACTTTGCAATTCTTTGTGTTAGAGCTCAGTCTTATTTTAATTACATGAGGTTCATTACTTCAAGTTATATTTCCTTCATATGGTAGGGCTTTAGAAAGATCCTTTGTTATAGGAAAATCTATCATTTCTTTGTTTCCTTTGTTTTCAATAATGGTTTAAATTGTAGATTCCACGTTTACACCCCAGTGTTTTCACTATTCTTTTCATAATGATGCTCTGAGGTACTTTGGGGATCTAGGACTGATTGCATGGAGTATAATCTTCCTTTCCTTTACTTTTTTTGAGATAGTGTCTCACCATGTAGTTTAGACATATTTAGAACCCCATACATAGCCCAGGCTAGCCTGGAATTTGCAGTGATCCTCCTGTGAGATCATAGGTATGTGCCACTACACCCAGCACATAGAGATCAGTTTCTTAGATGAAGATTGATCTAGGCAGTAGTTTACATAAGAGTGAACATATACTTACTGAGTGTCTGCTATGTGCCATCACTGTTCTGAGACCTTTGCATTATGTACACAGTCTACTACCTCATAAAGGTCGTTCGTTACCAAAAATTTCCTTGTAGAGAAATTCTCTTAAAGTGTGAGTAGAATTCCTATTCATGTCAGTGGCTAGATTTCTCTTTAAATTTTTAAAAAAATAAATAGTTATTTCAGGAGTTGACATTTGCTGTCACAATACAACAAACAGCCCAAATGGCCATTTTCTCTTTATTAATTGTATCAAATTATAAGTATGTTCTACTATTGTCTTTGTATCTGTTCCTTATTAAAAGTCTACTCATAGAAAAATGTATGCATGTGTTTCAGAGCTTGTATAATTCAAACTTTAATGTAAAACAATGGTAGTAAGGCTTTGATACAAATCGAGTAATAAGGACAAAAGAAATGAAATAGAGCAATGTAAATGCTCTTCTCCAGTGTATATGCTGAGTTATAGAGGCTGTGAAGTGTGGGACTCACTGCTGTGAGTTAGCAAACCAAAAGTGCTTGGAGAAAATTAGTTAATCTAATTGTGAAAATGAACTGCCCGATCGATCATTTGTGCTTTGTTCTGATTAAACTTAAGGATTGCAAATGGATCATTGAAAATATGAATAAGTACTTTATAACCTAAAAAATAAATATAAATAAAATTGCTTATAAGGGAGAAATTTTTTTTGTAGCAAGTTGTGTGGTTTAGGATATGCCTATTAATATATGTTTGAGTTTGCAACCACTCATCATGAAGATACTTGTTATTCCATTTTTAGAGGACACTGAAGTAGAGAAGTCAGATTACTTGTCCAGTAATTAACAATTACTAGTGAAACCAGCTGTAGACCAGCAGCTGACCCAAAGCTGCGTTTTCCCCAGAAGCAATGTGTTATGTAAGGGGCTTGTGTTACTGCTTTTGGAGACTGGTTTTTGTTACATATGGAAGCTAGTCACAGCCATCATTCCTTTCCTGCTTAGGTTTGTTAATTTAAGATTTTATTTTGACTGGAATTTAATTTAATATGATTTAATTATAGAGCTTAAAACCATTGTAGACGTTTTGTTTTTGTTCTCTCTCACCCCTTTTCCTAAAGGACTTTCTGCGCTCCAGGATATTGAGACAGGAGTGCAGCATATTTTAGCAGACATGATCGCTAAAGACAAAGACACGCTTGACTTCATTCGGAAATTGTGAGTAACTCTTTATAGAGTTTTCTACTTTGTGGACTCGTGCTGTTAAGGATCACATGCTTGGTGCTAATACCAGTATTCATTAAAAACTTTGTATTCAGAATATTTTTTTAAGTAGCAGAACTCTTTGTTCAAACAAAAGAACCCTAATATATAAAACAGACAAAGGAAAAGTTGTTTTAATTGAATTCTGAGCAGGGAGCCTGGAACTTTGCTTCCTCATCTTTTTTCCACTGAGGCACCTCAGTGGAGGACTTGGATCAACACAGTTTGAAAACCGCTGTTTTTCACAGTTTATCCCAATAAGAGACTCATGTTCATTTAGAGTAGTGCCATTGCTTTTTAAACATGTCAATTGTGATATGCATGCTTAGTTTATAGTATTTCTGTAATATTTCATTTTTGGTGTTTACCTATGATTGGGTTGATTTAGGATGATGTCAGGTATGCATTATAGTTCAGGCCTCTAAATGAACTTCAGTTGTTGAGGAAAGGCAGCTTGTCTGTGGCATCATAGTTTGAATTTGAGAGATTGATTCAAGGTCTTTGCTGGAGTCTACTTGAGCTAATAGATTTATGCCTCATTAAAGAAAAAAAAAAACTTTTACAGCCTTATTTAGAAGAGAAAATAAATTTCTGCTAGATCTCCCCCCCTGCCTTCCCCCACATCTCCACCCACATCTTGGTTTTTGTTAATCCAAGAGACAGAACTGTTCTATATTTTCATTGGCCCCAGCAGGAGTAAGAGGAAGTGGGATAACTACTCAGGTTGAAACTGTGTTTTGTAAGTAACTAGGCTGTTGAAATTTGGTTCACTTTTACAAATTGCTGTTGGAAGCTATCCTAGTACATCCTTGTGTTTCATGTCTTTTCAGATTGACTGTGACTACCAAATTCAGAGTTTAGAGAAGGATGATATTTAGACTAGTATTATTGGCCTGATTCTTTAGTTAGTTTTGATCTCTTATATAACTACAAATTGTATCTGAAGTCATTTGGGCATGGGGGATTGGGTGGATTTATAAGGAGATCTGTGGGATATATGTTAGCATGCTAGGCAAAGAGTTTTTTTTAATGGTACCAGAGACCAAACTCATGACCTAGTGAGGCACTTATGCAACTTGGCCCCCAAAGAATTTTTTTTTTTGATGAGTTAATAACATTTTCGTATTGGAACATCATTAACAAGTATCACTTGGTAATGGCTTAACATTTTTGCTAGCCATGGTGTATGTTACTGCTTATTGGTTTGACTATTTGTGTATCTGAGCAGGTGCCAAAATAGATACATCTGTATTCAGTCATCTCTGGCAAAAGTATCCTCAAAGAAAGTAAATGAGAAAGATGTTGATAAGTTTCAACTCTACCAGAACTTTTCATGCAACATAAGAAACATTCAACACCATCAGGTAAATAAAGAAATTGCTTATGCATACTGAAAAATGGTAATACTTTAAATTTGAAGAATTTTGTGTCAAATATTTTCTTTTTCTTTATAAAATTATTATAAGATTGCCATATTCTTCTAATTTCACAAATTGGAAACTGCAGACTCAGAAGTTAGTGACACTGAGTTTTTAGCAGGTATCTTGTTTTCTGGCTGGTGATCTTTCTTGTTAGACTCTGCTTTCTAATATGCTTGAATTTGAGCTCAATTCTAGATGTTTTCCATAGGCAATACAAATCAGATGATTTGGAATAAAGTGTTAAAGATCTCAGTGGTTTCAACCATAGTCACTGTATCTAAGTCTTCTAGTTTTTCAGTGTATTGATTTTTTTCCTAAAATGTAGCAATAGGTAATATGCACACTATAGAATGTGACTTACAAATAATAAAGGGGGGAAAAAGAAGAGTTAGCGATTAAAAATACAGTAGGACTGGCTACTGCTGGCATACTCTCTTAGTTTTTATTTGTCTTGCAAGTCTTAATTTTTCCTATTATATAGAAAAAAATTGAACGGTTGAAAAAGTCACATAGGGGCTGGGGATTTAGCTCAGTGGCATAAGCGCCTGCCTTGCAAGCAGGCAGTCATGAGTTCGATCCCTGGTACCAATAAAAAAACGAAAAACCAAAAAAAAAAGAAAAGAAAAAGTCACATAACAAAAAAAAAAGTGTGCTCTTTAGCATTGTAAGTATGCAAATGATACCTCGGTTCACAAATTTAATTCTCTCCATAATGCTGATCTGGAGTTCGTTCCATGATTCTGGTTGCAACTAGAATATGCTTGCATTTGCTTTCATGTGCTTATAAGTTCATTCCACCAGAATTATGGAACGAATTCTGTGATTGCCATCATGGAAGGAAGTTTGTGAACCAAAGTACTATTCTATAGTCTGCATTATTGTGCAACCAATCTCTAAAACTTAATTTTGTAAAGTTGAAACTGTATTACAATTTTGGTCATTTTTGAATGATAATTTTTCTATCTATATAAAATTCTTTTGGTACTTGGAGTATATCATCCACATCTTGTAGTATATACACCAGTGGTTTTTGGTAACTCTTGTTCATGACAGTCACTTCTCTTGCTGCATTCAGGATTCTCTGTCATGTATCTTGTAAAAATTAAATTATAATTTGACTTGTGGATCTCCTTGAGTTTATCCCACTTGGAGTTCATTGTGAGTCTTAGAAGTGTAGAGTAATGGTTTGCCTTAACATTGCAAAATTCTTGGTCATTGTTTCTTCAAATATTCTTTTTTTAAATTCTAGGACAGAGTCTTACTCTATAGTTCAGGCTGGCCTTGAACTCACTTTGGAGCCCAGGCTGGCCTTGAATTCGTGAGAGTCCTGCCTTAGCTTTCTGAGTGCTGGGACTCCAGGCAAATGTCACCATCTGTGGCTTCTTCAAATATTTTTTCTGCCTTTTTATTCTTCTGGGAATTCCATTTTATGTAGTGGACAGGCTTGGTAGTACTACACAGATCTCTTAGGTTCTCCCCCCTTTCCCCCCTCCCTTCTCCCCATTCCCTTCTCTTCCCTTCCTCTTCTCTTTTCATATTGTAGAATTTCAATTGATTTATCCTCAAGTTTGCTGATTTTTCTTTACGTGCTCAAATTTTCTGTTGAATCCCTCTAGTGAATTTTTTTTTTTTTTTTTTTTTTTTTTTTTGGTCTTTTTGTCTTTTTTTGAGACAGGGTCTCACTATGCAGTTCAGTCTAGCCTTGAGCTCACTTTGTAGCCCAGGCTGGTCTTGAACTCCCAACGATCCTCCCGCCTCAGCCTCCTGAGTGCTGGGAGTACAGGTGTGAGTCACCCTGCCTGGCTCTCCCTCTAGTGAATCAATCATTGTATTTTTTTCAGTCTGTAATGTCTACAGTGGTACCTTGGTTCAGGAACATAATTCTTTCCATAATTCTGGTTGCAGAATTTGCTCCATAATTCTGGTTGCAACCAAATTGCAATCACTGTATTTGGTTGCTTTTTATAATTTTCAATCCTTTTTTGTTGTTTTTCTGTATGGTTTAAGTATCGTCCTCCAAGCTTCTTTTAGGTCTTTGTCCATGATTTCCTTTTAACTCTGAGCATATTTTAGGTAGTTAATTTAAAAGCTCTATTCGTAAGTTTAGTGTTTAAACCTCTTCAGGGACAGTTTGTGTTAGTTTCTTTTTTACTGATTTTTTTAGATATTTTGTCTAGTAAAAACATATTTTGCATATTATAACTTGAAAATACTTTTTACTTCCCCTAGTTTTATTATTACTTGTTGTTTTAGTAACTTTGTAAACTTTTAAAAAATCTCTATTCTTTTCTGTGGCCACTGAAATCTCTCCCTCTTCAGCTTAGTAACTGTTAGCCCAGCTAATTGATACAGATTTTCTTAAATGTCTAGAGCTCGTTCCATTCTTGTTACCCAAAGAAAACAAAGCAAAACAAACTTTATCAGCCTATGAAGATTGGTTGTATGTTAAATTATATAGATTCCCCCTTTATCATGTTTAATGCTTTTTATCTTACAGTCTTTGGTTCCAGGATTGCAAACTGTGCTTTCTTTATGGGAACTGACCCACTATTGTCTTAATCATAACCTTACATGATATGAAATATCTGCCCTTAATTCCCTCCCAGGGATTTCTAGTCATTTGGCTGAATGAGCTCAAGGCCTTCACACTGAGCTGTATTTCCAGCCTTTTTAATTTTTTTTTTTTTATTTTTATCAGTGCCTTACTAATTTGCAATCCTTCTAGTTAAGCCTCCCAAAAGGATTACTGTGCAACCACACCCAGCTAGTAAAATCTATTTACCAAAACAAATGGCAGGCAGGATTGGCCTGTCAAAAGATAAAATTACAACAAACCAAATTTAAAGATCTTAATTGGCCTTTATTTGCAACTCTAGAATTGAAAAACACCTCAACGCCTGAAAAACGCTTAAAATAGAATGAGATCTTTCAATGAACTGAGCAGAAGTGTTTGCTTTATAGGCAGAAAAGGACGAGGAACACAGAAATAGAAAATCCAGAAATAAAAAATAGATTGTTTCAAAGTTACTTTCTTTGTAAAGGTTAAAGCAAAGAAGACTTACCATCCTGCCTAAAAACTGACTTATTTGGAGATTTAGTTCTGTTACTGTCGTTCTTGATAGAACTGTGGGGGACCAGCGGCGGCTGAAAAGATAAGAAGTATGAACTATAAATGACCTTTATTTTGAAAATGTGGGGAGAGACACATCCCCTCCCCATCCCCTGGAGCACCGCACCCCCCCCCCCCCAGTCACTCTGTGGAACACGAAGAGTGGAGGCATATATGTAGCTTAGGTTTGGGGTGGAGCCTGAGGGGGCATTAGGGATGCACAGGTAGCCCATTGGTCTTTGTTTGGCACCAGAGGTGAATTCCTAGGGGTGGGGGAGATGGAGCTCCTTGGTTCCTCCTGAGGCTTTACCGGCTACAGTATCCTGTCTGGGCCAAAACTCTTTCAGTTCTTACTGTCCTGATTTCTTGTAAGATCCAAACTTGGACTTGGACCTTTACTGTGAGTGACTCCATTTTGGTTTGGACGGTTGGAAGGTTGGACCTAGTGCAGGATCATCACCCAAAGCAATCACCTCCTACACATTTATTTAAGAAGCTTATAGTCTATACTTTGCTGACCTCTGTCCTGCTACATCTAGTATCCTCTGGATTCTGAAACACCCAAGTTTTATTTTTTCCTGTGGCCTTGTCATGGTATAATAACTTTTATATGTGTTTTTTGAATATCTTACTATATTTTTGCCTTCTTTTATATGCTGTTTTTGAGAAATCTGGTGCCAATTTAATTCTCTGTCTCTTTTCATTGTTGTTCTAAAAATGACATGGAGAGACTTCATTAATCCCATAAGTATTTATTTTTTGAATACTTATTTTATGTCAGGTCTTATTTGAGGGACAGAGGTGACATGGTCTCTGCCCTTGAAGATTTAAAATGTTTTACTATTATTTAAAGTTGTTAGTTTTTGTGTACTTTATATTTGTTGTATCAGGTGAAGTATATGCTTTCAACGAATTGGAGAAAAATGATTTTACTTACCTAGTTTTACACTACAGATATAGTATAATAAAATTTTTTTAATAGCACTAGTGACTAAATATAGTATATTAAATCCCCCCCCCTTTTTTGTTTATTTTTGAGATACCACCTCACTGTATAGCCCAGGCTAGCCAAGAACGCATGGTGATCTTGCCTCGGTCTCCTGAGTGCTGGAATTATAAGCCTGTGCCACCATACATGGCTTAAAATTCCTTTTGCAGAGTTTTGATATTATAGTTTGTTCCTTTTATATTATTAAAAATTTATTGGAACTTGGAAACAAGTACTTGTATTAAAACCAGCGTATTGATTAACTTTTCATCATTGTAACTAAATACCTGAGAAAAACATCTTAGAGATGGAAAGAATTATTTTGGTTCTTGGTTTCAGAGTTTCCACCTTACGATTATGAGCTCCATTGCTTTTAGGCCTGTAGTGAGTCAGAAAGATAGCAGAAGGGTGTGACAGAGGACGACTACTCGCATCATGGCAGCCAGGTAAGCAGAGAGAAAAATGAAAGACCCAGAGAAGAATGGTGCCAGGGACCAGATGAAGTTCCCAGGGTTATAGTTCATTCCCTTTAACTAGGCTCCACTTCTGTCACTTCCAGGTACTGCCGTCAAATTATGATCTCATCAATGTACTGCTCCACTGATGAATGTGAGGCTGTCTTAATTACTTTTGTCTCCTTGCAGAGACAAAATACCTGATGCCCCAAATTAGGGAAAGGTAGGTTTATCTTACAGTTTTGGAGGTTTCAGCTGGCTCTAAGGCAGGGTAACGTGGCTGAGGTACAGCCATTGTTGGTTGTCACAAGCCATTAGAGCTAAAGGGCAAAAGAAGGTGAAAAGCATGCCTCCTTCCCTCCCTACATTCTTTGCTGGCTCTGCCCCAGGGTGGGTACAACACTCACACCACCAATCCCAGTGCTAGACAACGATCCACTCACAGATGCTAGATTCAGCTGCTTCCATGACTACATGAGGTGTGAGGGGGCCATCTGAACTCGAACTACAACAGGAGCCAATGTACTGGCTTCTTATGATCTATCACCTTCCAAAAACCGGTCTTTTGAACACATAAGTTTTTGGTGGTCCTTGTAAATCTGAACTATAGCAGCTTTTCTAATTTATGCTTGAAAATATTTTTTAGATTTTAGCATTTTATTTATATTATTTATTTTGGCTTTTAGAGACAAAGTCTCACTGAAGATCAGGCTGCCCTTGAACTCACTGTGTAGGCCGGCCTTGAACTCATGGTGATCTGCCTGCCTTAGCCTCCTGAGACTACTGACGGGTTATAGCATTTTATTTTTATTTATTTATTTTTTGGTACTGGGGATTGAACTCATGATCTTGCGCTTGCCAGGCAGGCCCTTGCGCTTGCCAGGCAGGCCCTTATGCCACTGAGCTAAATCCCCAGCCCCACTTAGTATTTTAAATAGTACATGTAACAGTTTGAGTTTATGATTGATACTGACTTAGGTTGCTGTTGCTACTTGATGTTTTGTAGTCTGAAGGAATAACGTGCTAGGTCCCAAAGATAGCTTTTCTTTCCTTGTAGAGTTGAGACCTCATGTCCCCAGCTCTCAATCTTGATTTTCAGTCCCTTTGCAAATATACCAGTTTATATTTCCTCAGAAAATGATGAAATTTAGTAGAAAAGGAATAACATGACGTGGAATGTCTTTGTGTAATGTGGAGATAAGTTTTATACCTGTCAACTAAATTCTTCTGGCTGCATCTTGTTTTCCTTCTCCAAATTGGTTGTTAGTGAGTTCTTTTTTTTTTTTTTTTGGTACTGGGATTGAACTCAGGACTGTGCGCTTGCAAAGCAGGCGCGCTTATGCCGCTGAGCTAAATCCTCAGCTCATTCATGCCACATAAATATTCATTATTGTGCCATGAATATTTAAGGTGGCTTCTCATCCTCCCAGGAGACTGTCTTTCCTGTACTTGTGTGCTGCCTCTTTCGCAGATGTCCCATCTCCTGTGCCTTTTATGTTACCTGTTCCTTTCCGCTTTCTCCCACTGTTCACTTTATCTTCAGTTTCTGTCCTAAACTTCTGTTATTTGTCACTTGGAAGAACTTCTATTTCTAGTTTTTTGAATATTTTTGTCATCGAATACTGCTAAATTTTGTTAAATACTATTTCTGACTCTTTTGTGGTGACCATGTGACTTTAAAAATTGAATTAAAATAATTATTATTTATTATATTACTTATGTTTTTCAATGCTGAACCAACTGAGAATTCCTGAAATAAATCTTATGCTATCTTGGTGTATGACCCTTTTTGTATTTTTCTGGATTTGTGTTGGTAGTATGTTCATCTGTCATCCTAAGAGATTTGACTTTGTAGTTTTCTTGTGAAGTTTTGTCTGGTTTTGAATCAGGGTTATGCTGACATTATTGTGAATTGGGAAATTTTCCCTTCTTTTGTGTTTTTGGAGATTTTTATAAAGAATTGGAATTGTTTCTGCTTTAAATAGTAGAATTCAATGTGGGAGCACTCTGATATTGGACATTTTTTATGGGAAATGTTTTATATTTGTGTATGTATATACTTTTTTTGAACTTTGTCCATTTTATGTAAGTTATCTAATGTAATATTCTCTTATGACTTTTAATTTCTGTAAGATCCATATTGTAATGGCCTCTCTTTTGCTTATTTTGATAATTTGACTGTTTTCTATTTTCTTCTTGATGAGTCAAGCAAAATGTCAGGGGTTTGTGTGTGTTGGGAGGTTTTTTTTTTGGCTATATTCAAAGGCCCAGCTTTTGATTTTGTTGATAGTCCTCTTTGTTTTCTATTTTCTATTAATTTTTACTTTGTTCTTTATTATTCCTTCCTTCTGCTCAATTAAAGCTTCTTTCTTCTCAAAGAAGTGTTTTAAAAGAATTGCTCTTTTTTTGTCTTTTTCATCGGTACCGGGGATCGAACTCACGACCACACACTTGCAAGACAGGTGCTTATGCCGCTAAGCTAAATCCCCAGCCCCTAAGAATTGCTCTTTTAATATATTTTATAAGAACAGGATCTGAGTTTAAATTCCTCCTTTGATACTCACTAGCTTTGTGATTTGGGAAAGTTAGTCACAGAAAAATTATTATATCAAATAGAGACATTACATAGATCACTGGTGGTAGAGAATATTTCTTAAAAAAAATGTATTCAGCCAGATGTGGAGGTGCATGTCTAATCCTAGCACTTGAAAGGATGAAGCAGAAGGATTATCATGAGTTCGAGGCCAGTATGGACTGTACACGGAATTTGAGGCCAGCCTGGACTACATAGCACATCTTACTGAATTGAACTGAATCACTCTGACTCCACAGACTGGACAAGCTGAGCAAAGCTTATCCTCCTGAGCTGAAAAAATTTATGGAGAAGAAGTTATCATTGAAATTAAATGTGGCAGACATGAACAAGGAACATTGCAAGAGTATATTGATCTCTTTGTGAATCTCATGATAGACGATTGTGTGAAAATGGCAGCGAGTGGGCAGCATAGCAATACCGGAGTGTTTGTAACACCAGGAACGTGGTATCGTCCTGTTGGAAGCCCTGGAATGAGTTTAAATAATGACTGACTGTTCAGCAGAGCAATCCATGACCTTCTCCAGAAGGCTGGTTTCACTATGACTGAAAATTGGGTTGAATCTTTTTTCATATTAAATTTTTTATTAGATAAACTTTTGTAGCACAACCTGGAACACTGGCAGATCTGTGTGCCCTGAGCCACCTGTAGCCAGCTTCTGGTCTGCTTGGTGGAACTGGAGCTGTGTGAGCCAGGAGAAGGCATTTCTGTGAGCTCCTGGGCAGAGTGTGTGCTCCTGGATTCTTGCTGACTGCTTTCTCTGACTGTTCACAGCAAATGCTTGGGTTTATGCAGTAAGCATTACTACAGAACATGGCTAATATGCCCAAAAAATTAGCTTATTAAAGATGAAATAGAACAGCTCTCTTCAGTGAAGAGGACAAATTGTTTATTTAAAGCATTTGTTTCAATAAAATAGAAGCCTGAATGCTGAAATTTTACATGGATAGAAATTTTCCTGACACTTGGTATTTCTATGTTTTTGAAAAATGATGTTCCAGAAAGATGACTTTTTTCTTCTTACTCCCATTATTGACCTATTATGGGACATTTTTATATATTGAATCTGGGTTCTTTTTGACGGATTTCATTTTAGTTTTTGTTTTCAATTCAGTTATACCCCCAACCCCCGCTTTTTTTGGTACGCGGATTGAACCCATGACCTTGCACTTTCCAGGTAGGTGCTTACACCACTGAGCTAAATCCCTGGCCCATCCTATTTTATTTTAAAGAGAAAATTTTAAATTCTGTATGTAATACATCTGTCATCTTAGTTGGACCAACTTCCCATTTGTTTATCATATAATTATCCAGTTATATCTTAATTCTATCCAAAGAAGATGCAGTGTGAAGACAGAGGTGTACTCTCTACAGTGCAATTTACTGTACAGTTACAAAACAAAAAATGTTAAATGGAAAAGATATTTGCTTTTACTATACATTCTGGGATTTAGGTAAACTATGATTTAGCTAAATGTCTACAGTGATTATCATTTTTTTCCCCCAAGTCTGCCTTACATCTGTTTTGGGTTTGAATGAAAGCTTTACATAAGAAATTATTAAAAGCAAGGGGGAGATGGATAATTGATGTCTATCACATTAAATAATGTAATGTAGGTATAGACTGCCAAATGCACTAGGATATACAGATTGACTGAGAAGTACTTTTTCTGATGATGAGTGGTATAGAAATGTGTGGCCTTTAATTTAACAACTTGTGTTCTGTTGCATGAAACATTGGAATTTTTCAGATGTGTGTGTCATAATTGTGTTGGGAGGGAGATTGTTTTCTTATGTCTTTTCTGAAATTCCTACAGGAGCTAAATTTGTAATTTAGAAACATAAAGCACTACTGCTTTAGAATGTTCAAATAAAATTTCCTGACAAAAACAAAACAGGACTTTTGTAATGGGAAAAGAATACATTTAAAGTACTTAGATAGGTTTTATAATTACTAGTACTCAGCGAATGGTAAAAATTAGTAGCTATTAGTGATTTATCTTGGGGTTTTATATGTTCACATATTTATCTTAACACAGATAATCTTTTCACATCTGTAAAACATATCCTTTCCCAACTCTAGATGATCAGAATTTTCAGTTGGAAGACTCTGAAAATGAGATTTTAGATCACAACAGTCTTTCTTTGGGAATATGACATGTTGGTTTTTTTCCTGTATTTAATTTCATTTAACATTTATGGTTTTGTCTATGAGGGAGATAAGTTACTTGAAAAAAAGTATAAACAGATCATTATTTTTGCATACATTCTTGGTAAATAAAAACTTAAAAATTGATAGAGCTCTTGACTAGCTAGCTGTCTCATTTGTTTCATAAATATTGACTAGTTAAATTTATCATTTATATACTTTGTGGATTATCAGTTTTTACCATATATGTTTGTGTTCAGATTTTAGCAATTAATCGTGGAGAGAATTTGAAGATATTGACAGTCAAGGTCAACATTTCTGATGGAATAAAGAATGAGTTCTGTAGGTGGTGCATCCAAAACAGGTAAAATACCATCCTGATACCATTTCATACTGTTAAGGAAAGATGTCCGTTATGTACATAAAAAGTTCACAAGTTGCCAAGTATGATGGTACACACCTGTAATCCCAGCACTTGGGAGGCTGAGGCAGGAGGATTGTTGCAAGTTTGAGACCAGCCTGGGCTACGAAGTGAGTTCAAGGCCAGCCTGAACTGTATGGCAAGATTCTCAAAAAAGGCAAAAAAAAAAAAAAGTTGACAATGTATATAATATCTTTTTTGCATTTAGAAACTATATTTGCTATGTATGGTAAGTAGAAAATATCTAGGAGATGCAATAAGAAATTATTCATAATGATTTCCTCTGGGGAGGGAAACTTTTTACTTTAGTATAGTCATGTGGTAGGTAATGTTTCAGTCAAGGATCAGTGATAGATTATATATATGACAGTCTCATAATTATTATGGAACTAAACTTTTTTCTTTGAGTGGCCAGACTGCTGAATAAGTGGCAGGAGAAAAATAGACTGCAGAAAGAGAAGATCCATCAAGGAGGAAACTAGGAGAGAACAGGAGGGATGTAAGGGTGAACAATGGAGTGATGGATATGTGCAAAATATATTATTCACATTGAAACCTCCCTCCACCAGGATGAGCCTGTGGAAAAGGATAGCCCAAGAGAGGGAGAATGGGGGTTTACAATGATCCAAGTGTGTTATGTGCATTGGCAAAATGAAGTTCATTCATCTGTATAACCGCTAGCAGATGACTGGGTGGCAGGAGCAGAGCCACCAAGAAAATTCACACTGAAGGGTTTAGCTGAAGTTTTTGTAAATTGCAATAGGCTCCTTAAAAGTTTTTATTAATAGACATGAATGCTTATGGAACATTATCTGCTTCTAAGCAAACCTAGGATGGACGGTAAAGACACACATCTAGCAAACAAACTGCTGTCGCCATATTTCTGAAAGGTTGATGCCTCCATGGGAGGTCCATTTAGAGGATTCCAGGTGAAGGCATTGTCATCAGAGCAGGCGCGGTCTCCTGGCATGTTTCTCCATTAAGACCGCTGGTGAGATGAGATGCCTGGATGAAACCTGTGTAGCCTTAGGCCAGCATGTGTGCGTTTGTACCTCAGTTTTTTAACAAAAAAGTTTAAAAAGTGAAAATAATTTAAATAGAAAAATGCTTATAGAATAAGAATATAAGAGAATAATTTTGTATCAATATACATATGTACCATGTGTTTTAAGTTAAATTATCACAGAAGTTAAAAAGTTAAAAAAATTTAAGTTCATAAAGTAAAATAGTTACAGTAGGCAAATTTATTGAGGAAAGAAAAGAATTTAAGTGTACTCTAGGCAAAGTGTGCAGTTTGTGAAGTATGTAGTTGTTTAAAGTCTCCACTGACACTCCTAGATTTACCCAGAGTAATGTCCCTTGCAAACTCCATTGTGGTAAGTGTTCTATACAGGTGTACTGACTTACTCATTCATGCATTTATTTATTTATCATTCTAGTTCTGAGAATTTAAACCAGGGAGTACTGTGCTGCATTCCCAACCTTCTAAACTTTTGAACCTGTGATTCTCCTGCCTTAGCCTCTCGGTGTTGGGATGATACACGTTTCCTGTCATGACCAACTCAGCTTTAAATCTTTTGTACTGTATTTTTACTTTAACTTTTTTATGTTTAGATACACAAATACTTGCATTTGTTGCAGTTGCCTACAGTATTCCATACAGTGAGATGCTGCTGAACAGGTTTGAGGCCTAGAAGCAATAGGCTATGTACTCTTTAGACCAGGGAAGCAGTAAGTTACAACATACAGAATAGCATAAGGACACTCTCATGTTTGTGCCACAAAATCACCTACCAATTCATTTTTCAAGATTTACTCCGTTACTAGGCAATTTATAACCATTTTTCTGTATATTTGAGTGTTTTATAAAGAATATGTTTTTAAAAATAACTAGTAATTCTACTGAAATATTTTACTCCTTAAGGATGATTGAAACAAAAATATAATTTATGAGATAAATCTTTGAATATATGTAGGTTGAAAAACACAACTAGAATATTTTACATGTTAGGGACGATTGAAATGAGCATCAGTTGCACATGGGGGCACATTCCTATAGTCCCAGCTACATGGATGGCTGAGGCAGGATGAGTGCAAATTAGAGGGCAGCCTGTGCATATAGCAGCCTAGTGAGACTCTGTCTCAAAGTAAAGTAAAAAATATAAAGAATGGGCTCTGCAAAAGACCTGCATTTGGTCCTTAGTACAGTAATTAAATAAATGAACATTATGTTTATTGGATTTTAATTATTTCATTTTAATTAATCTTCATTTATTAAGGAATGCTATTAAAATGACTCCATTTGTTTCAGTAACACTTTTAACTTTTAGTTTTAACTGTCCTAAATGTGCTTGATTCTCACAACACTATATACGGAAGGTTGAGCAGGTTCTGTAGCTGTCATTTGGCCAATGAGAAGACTGATGCAAAGATGTAAAGTGACATATCTGGCAGTTAGAAGATGCAAAGTTTGAATATACTCATTACCAGATAGCACTCTGTGATCTTAGCTTAGAAGATTGGTGGGAATACAACTTGAAAAGTTAGATGAAATGTTCCTTATATGCTTTGTACCTGGCATTTAGCTGCGTTATGCAGCATGGCTCTTGTGTGAGTTTCATGGAAGTCAGCTTACCAAAAGCCATTTCCGTGAGGGGTCATATTATTTGCTGAACCACCAAATACTACTAATAAGTGGTCATCAAGCAAAATGATACTCTCAGTGTTAATCAGTAGATGCATTGCTTAAGTCAATAAAATCGTCCTATAAAGCCATTTTGAAAATGCTGAGATTGAGCTAGTGAGGGTGTTAAATGTCTTATTATGTTAAAAAGAATTTATATTTACTGTTTATTATATCTCATTAGTAGCAATAATATATCTACATATATAGGAAAATGGGAAGATAATAGATGGTTTACTTTTTAGCTCTGGCTTGAGATTTTAGTTCTCTATAACTTTATGTAATTGTAATTTTTTAAATGAATATTTACCTCCTTTATAAATAGTCATGTAAATTCCATTGAGAATGAGAAAGAAATACCTAAAGATTAGTTTAAAATAAAAGTCTTGGGCTGGGGATATAGATCAGTGGCACAAGTGCCTGCCTGGCAAACGTAAGGTCCTGGGTTTGATTCCTGGTACTAAAAAAAAAGTCTGTTAGCTGGTCATCATGGCACATACCTGTAATCCCAGCACTTGGGGAGCTGAGGCAGGAGTTTAAAGCTAGTCTGGGCTACATAGTGAGACCTTGTCTTTAAAAGAAGTATATAAGAAATTATTTCTTCACGCAGATGTAATAGCAGATACCTATGATCCCAGCACCTGGGCTACAAAGTGAGCTCAAGGCCTGCCTGAACTGCATAGTGAGACCCTGTCTCAAAAAAAAAAAAAAAAAAAAAAAAAAAAAAGGTTTTGAGATGATATCCTATAAAACAAGCTGATTATATTGCTCTAAGATATAAATAAGTTTTATGAGTTCACTGTACTGTTTAGGTCTCTGGTGCTGTGAATCGATACCAGAAAGCAAGAAAGAGCAGAAATTATTGTTAAGTAAAGGATATAAAGGAGTTTCTAGATGCAGTAAATGGATATAATTGTAATCTTTCAGGGTCAAGTCCAATGGCCTAAAGGCAAGCAGAATAAATGAGTCATCTTTGAATATAAAGTAGACCCACAGCTCTCTGTTCCAGGGAGGAGAGCCAAAGGAAGATCTTGAGGGTTGGAGACCATTGGGACCTCAAGAGTGTGTAGGCAGAGAATCTTAAGGGCTTTGGCTTTTTCCTGCAAATAGTAAATTGTTGAGGCTAAAAAGGAATGACTTTAGCAGACACCACATAAATACATTTAAAAAAATCATTGGAGTCTTCCTGTGTCTAAGGGCTATCTTTCTAGCTTATTGTCTCATAACCCAGAACTATCTTTTCTTTTCACTTTTTTTGAGACAGAGTCTCACTATGTAGCCCAGGATGGTCTTGAACTAGCTGTGATCCTCTTACCTCAGCCCCCCAAGTGCTGGGATTACAAGTGTATGTGTGCCGCTGTGCCTGGCTTATATTTTCTTTCTTAACTAGCCAGCCTCTCTAACCTTCTGTGTAAGACCCAGTATAATCTGCCCATTGCCAAATAGTCTAGCTTTATAGTCCCCTGACTTGATCCTTCCACTTTATGACCTAGCAGTATGGTACTAACTACTGCTTGTAGTTACTGAATTTGACTTCTGGAAAGATGGTAGAGCGGATAGTAGCAGAGAAAGAGTCCCTCTGAGATTTGGTGTCCAGACACTGGCATATATAAGGAGGGAACTGGGTCCCTGGGCTCAGGAGGGATCTAAAGTGAGAGTTGATGGGGAGAGTAGAGAAAAACTTCAGTGAAGAAGGAGAAGGCAGGAGCACTTTCCCCTGAGCTCAGTCTCACTGTCTGGGAGGGTCAGCTCCATCCTGCAGTTACTTGAATTTATCATGCTCTTTTATGCCTCTGAGCTTTTGTATATGCTGTGGTTTCTTTCCAGAGTAATTATATACATTTGTTTTTCTTGGTAAGCTGTAATTAATTTTTAAAAAACATCTCAGATATTTCTTCTGGGAAGTCTTTCTTGACATTGGATTTTCCAAAATGGTGGTGGTGGTAGTAGTTGTGATGGTGATGATGGTAATAAGAGTAGCAGTGCTTAAATGTGCCAAAACCTGTCATGGTAACTACCAAAGCAAATAGTGTTGTTGTTCCCATTTTACAGAAATAATAGTACAATATAGAGTCCCAGTAAATTCCCCACGAAAGCAGAATTTGAAGTTTGGCCGTCAGGCCCATATGTTGCTTATAACTAGTATACTCTTGTGCTCTTATCCTTGCTTGTGAGTTCTCTATATCTTTATCTTTTACATATTTCTCTTCTTATACAATGAGATGCATTTGTTGAGATCTTTGTCTCATTGAAAGTGATACTTCTATGTCTACTTTTACTGTGCTTTTCTATCACTTTTCTACTACTCTTCTATCACTTTTTCTGTCATGAAGGTGACAATAGGGAATGGCAGTGTTTGGGTGAAAGGAAGAATGCATATCCCGCCTAAAATCATGCTTGTTCAAATTAAAAAACAAAATTGTGAGCTGCTGAAATAACACTCCTCTGTGGAAGAGATTAGTTATTATGTAAGCTTTGGTAACAACGTTGTAAATGCTTAAATTTTTGCTGAAATTCATTCATTTTCTAGCTGAAACTTGTTTATTTTCCAGCCTAAAATAAGTGTGGGAGATGACAGGTCCTTCAGGTAGTGTAATGGTTTATTGCACATTGTTAATATTTTCTTGATGGTCTCATTCACTACACAGTGAAAAGCAAAGACAGAAAGGCTGTAAGAAGATGAAAACACAAAAGGCAGAATTCTTTCTTTTCTACTTGCATTTTTTTCTCTTCTTTTTTTAATGTCTACTAATGATTGGTCACTGGCATTTAGATCGCCCAGTCCCCATAAAATGCAGATGCTGTCTGAGGCTGACAGTGTAACCTAAACAGTAAGTCCAGTTCTACTCAAGAATGCCCAGGGGCTGGACAGCGGCATAAGCCCCTGCCTTGTAAGTAAGCAGTCGTGAGTTCGATCCCTGTACCGATAAAAAGGAAAAAGACAAAAAAAAAAAAAAAAAAAAAAAAAAGAATGCCCAGAAGCATTTAACTGTCAGCAAGAGAGAAAGAAATGGGAAGAAGATACAGTGCTTGTGTTAACCATAACAAAGTACCATAGACTGATGTGAATGAACTGGCTTAGCCAACAGAAATGAACTCTCTTACAGTTCTAGAGGCTTGAAAGTCTGAGTTCAAGGAGCTGACTGGCTCGCCACCGGAGGAGGGCTTTCTTCCTGGATTCCAGGGTTCTTCCTGTGCTGTCCCTTGGTGGACAGGGGTGTGGAGAGAGAGATCTCTGATGAGTTGTCTAAACCTAATTATCTTCCAGAAGCTCCATCTCTAAATGCCCTCATTTTGGAGGCGAGCGCTTATGTGTGAATTTTGAGAGACACAATTTAGTTTCTGATGACTTATTTACATCTTAAAAATTTGGCCATTCCTAGTAATGCTTTGGAGATTTTTCCCAGAAAAGGAAAGTTTTTCCTTAAGTTTTATATCTGACTTTATTTACCAGATTTTAAAAAATAAAGTCTCCAGATATTGTAGCAACAATTTCTAGACACCACAGCCTTCTCTCACAGATAGTGTTGCTTTGGCTTTAGTAAAATCTTTTCCCCTTTCTCTGTTCCATACTGCTCATCTTCTGAGGTGTCCTTTCATGGTCTCATTGTTAGCATCAAAGTTTTAGTATGAGGTTTTTTTTTTTTGCAGGTGGAGACCACATGGCTTTGCAAGGCCAGAGTTAATGAAGATCTTACATAATTCACTGGATGATTCCTTTAAACGCCTTATTTATCCTCTCCTCTGCAGAGAGTTCAGGTATGTATCTTGTTTAATTCTGTGAACTGTTTATTATTATGTACGGCACTAGTTCTTTTAAGGCATGTAGTAAATATTTGTTAACTGAATAAGCTTGAGAACTTCACAAAGGCTTAAATTTAATTCTTGGTTTCCATCTGCAGATGTGTTCATGTGCATAGATGTTGCAGTGTTTTTCTTAATTGTGATACACTCAAATCTTGACCAGTTAATGCATACCTGTTCCACTTCTGCAATACTTGCCTTGTGATTTGACAACTAAACCAAACACATGATTGTGTTAGAGACTTAGCTTGGAAGAAACAAACTTGAAAAGTTATTTTATGGTAATTTTTAGATGTAAGAGAGCCAAAGAAAACATAAGGAAGTTGGTAGAGCGTATGATGAGTCTATTACTATGAAGAGAGAAAGCAAATACATGTTTTTAAATCTCCAAATAGGAATTGTTGGATGAAAATTATCAGCAATGATGAGCAAATATCAGGAGATTATTGGAATAACCGTGTCAGTGAATTGCTAGAAGTTCTAGTAGTAATGAAGATGAAAACTGCTAAAGAGATGAGATACACAGATGTTTTAAGGGAGAAGACAGAAAGAAAAGCAATGTAGGGAGGCACACGCCTTCTTTCCTGGCACCCTCCAGCCTTCATCTTGGAAGTTACTTTTTGGAAAGTGTCCGTTTCCTTGTGTAGTCATTCCTGACTACTGTACATTTGCTGTGTTTTCTAATTTTCAAGTTTCAGCAAAGATTACTTGGGGACTGGAGTTCTAGCTATCTCATCATCCTCACTGGAATTTCTGGCAGTTATGTAATGTTTGTTCTTTTGTTGAGCTTGGATGTAGAGTTCAGAAGTGTTCAGAGCAGGGAATGAGCAAGTACTATTAAAAACAAATGTACCTCTCTTGTCTGCTTTCTGTTTATCAGGAATATTCATTCTCTTGTTTGATCTTTTTTTTTGTGTACCAGGGATTGAACTCGGCCTTCACGGAGAGCTGTAGTCTCAGCCTTCTCTATTTTGAGACAGGGTCTCACCAAGTCATTAAATTGAACTCAGCCTTTTAGAATGCTGGGATGTTAAGCATGCACCACCACACCTGACTTGTTTGGTCATGTTTAGGCCTGACATCTCCTAAAATATTGTTCCTTTTGAAATTTTATTTCAAGTCTGGGTGAAGTAACATCTCTTGATTTTGAGTGCTCGGGCATACACTTTAAGGAATTCTGTTTTTAGTGAAAAGTTATCTTATTTAAAATTTCAATGCTTTTTTTAAATTGAAAAACCCAAGATCTGATCAATTCTTTTTTTGTATGTTTATTCTTTTATCTTTTTCTTTCATGTTTATATAATGTCCTGTAGTATATTCAGCATTTTTGCATATATTTTGTTTGAGTGGCTTTGCTTCATGTGGAATAATTTCGTTGAGATTGAATGGGAGCAGTTGGGTGTGGAATTATTTAATATGTAATCTTTTTTTGGGGGATGGGAAAGCAATAGCCCTTTACCTCTCTTTTTCTTAAATGTCTGTAGTTCAAACAATAAAACTTATTTCAGTTCCTAAGTTAGTTTGTAGACATTGTCTAGAGATGTTTTTCTTGATAGAAATACTTATTTGAATGGCAGTTGAGGAGGGGAGTCCCTGTTGGTTTTATTTTTCTAATTGAAAAGAATTTTTTCTGGATTGTAGAAAAATACAAAGAATCAGTAATGCAGAAAGTAAGAAAACCTTGTAATTTCACCACCTAGAAATAAAATTGTTAATGTAAATTTAAAAAGATTATATAGATGATTATTTTGTAGATACCTTATTCAGTTGACTATATCCATGCATAGCCTATTTCTTTTTTTATTTTTTTGGTACTGGGAATCAAACTCAGGACCGTATTTGCAGGCAGGCACTGTGCCACTGAGCTCTATCTCCAGCCCTGCATATCTACTTCTGCATTCTTTCTTCTGTGATTGTCATGATCATTTATTCGTGGGTCATTTTTCACATCTACTTCTCTTATCAGTTCTACCTTGTCAGTTAACCAGCTGCTTTCTGCTTTGCCATTTTTTATATCTTTAATCATTGCTTGTATCTCCATGGCTACTGTCTCAGTTTAGGACATTGTCATTTCTTTCTGGATTACTGTAATGTAGACATAGAGGATCTTTACCTTCTGTCTTGTCTTTTCCAGTACAGACTCTACATTTAAAATTTTTAAAATTCTCATTTCACTGTTTGGTGCTCATCTACTTAATTCCTCCATGGAGCTTTTGCTTTAAGGTAAAATCCAAGTTCTTTAGAAAAACATATGAGCACTCTGGGAGCTAGTGTTTTCTTGCCTTTACAGCTTTTATGTCTTTGCTATTTGTTTCCTTTTTTTTTTTTTTTTGAGATAGGATCTCACTGTGTAGTTGAGGCTGGCCTGGACTCACTGTGTAGCCCAGGCTGGTCTTGAACTTGCTGTGATCCTCCTGCGTGCACCATTACACCTGGCTTTGTATTTTAGCATGTGAAGTCACTGATTTTTTCTATAGTGAGCCATGAAGTTTTACATATTGCTTCCTTTGTATAAGTTATCTTTTTCTGCCTTCCATTTTACTGTCCCCATCTTCGTTTGCTTCACTTTTATTATCTTTCTTTTTTGATTTAGCTGAGAAGACATCTGTTCTAGAAAATTTTCCTAATTTAATTGTCTCTCCCTAACCCTGAGCATCACTGCTTTAGATTTGTCTTATTGCTTTTTTTTTTTTTTTTGTTATTATTGTTTGTTTCTTCCGGCAGACACTGTGATCTTCAGGCAAGTATCTTTTCAGCTTTGTATCCTTTATATCAGTCATGGTGCATTGTGTCAGACTCTCAACAAATGCTTACCAAGAAATAGAGTTAAGAATGAAGATTTAGAAATATTGCAGTGAGATTTTTTTTTTATCTTGTTGAGATGTGAGATTGTGACAATAAAATGTTAGAGAAGATGAGAGAAAATCCTTAGCAACTAATCTAGAGAGATAGTTGTGCATATTTTTGTATGTATAGAAATTATGCCTCAACCCTGATGGAAATGTGCTTTTAATTGTTCTTGTATGCTCATCCCCCCCCCCCCCCCCCCGGCCAATGGTATGTGTTTTTATTTGGCTTAAGAAAAATGTTTTATAAATTCTTTTGAATTTCAGGAGTGAATATATTGAGAGCTTCTTTAAGTAGATGAGTATATAAAACTTGTTTTCGAAGTGTATTTAAGTCCACAATAGACCCAAGTTCTTGAAAATACACTTTTAAGTGACTTTCTGAATAAAACAGGGAACCATTTATATGAGGCATAGTTCTAGATTGAGTGTTAGTATCTGTGATCATGTTAGTCACTGTGAGAATGATAGAGGGAATGAAAAAGATGTGGAGAGTGTAACAGAGAAGAGGACACTGAGATATTTATAGGTGAAGACATAAAACTGTTACCAGAGGAAACTACCTATTATTCAGTAATTTATCATTTTAATTTTGTATTGATACTTTTAATTATTTGATAAATACTAATTTAACATCCTAAATAACATCCAAATCCTTATATTCTCTCTTATATACACATCATTGCACACATGCACACACACACAGTTATGCATACAACTTTTATAGACTGGTTTTTTTTTTTTTTTTTGATACCTCGTGCTTGCCAGGCAGGTGCTATGCTGCTGAGCTAAATCCCTGGCTCTTAACTTTTATATATTGTAAAGAGTAGAAGGTAAGTATGACTAAAATTTCCTTCAGAATTGTTTTTGGTAATTAGCTGAAGTAGACTCATATAATTTTTGTATGATTTTTTTTCTTTTGTTGTATAAATGTCTCTTTGAGGAATATTGAACAAAATAAATTGTGTTCTTTTTCTGGAAGGACAATGTTGGTGAAAAACTAAGCACTCTTTCTTTTCTTCTTCTTCTTCTTTTTTTCCTTTTCTGTTTTTATAGAGCCAAACTGACATCAGATGCAGAGAAGGAATCAGTAATGATGTTTGGCCGGAACCTTCGTCAGCTCCTTTTAACCAGCCCTGTCCCAGGGCGTACCTTAATGGGAGTAGATCCTGGTTATAAACATGGCTGCAAATTAGCTATAATTTCTCCTACCAGTAAGTTCTCTTTCAGTTTTTCATGTAATAATTGGTCATAAGTTTGATTTCATAGATTTTATGAGGATTTGGAAATAATGTTAAGTTTTGAAGTTTAGAAAATTGTTTTCTCACAGAGATACGGCAATCAGACAATCAAATGTCAGATTTCCTTTATTTCTTGACAAAAACCCTAAACATATGACCATCATTTAATGCTTTTCCTATGTCTCAGTGGAGATACTGAGATTTGATTAGGGTTAGACTTGGACTGTTACCCCCATTAAGTTTGTTTATTGTGTTGCATTCACATATCTTTTTTTTTTTTTAATCGGTACTGGGGATCGAACTCACGACCGCTTGCTTGCAAGGCAGGCGCTTATGCCCCTGAGCTAAATCCCCAGCCCCTCACATATGTTTTAATACCCAAGGATATTTTTGTTGTTTTGTTCAGTCAATAGTTTTCTTCTATTTACTCATATATTTATCATTCATATTAGCTTTTTTCTTGCATTTCTTGTTTCTTTCCTTCTTTTCTTTTCTTTTCTTTTTTTTTTTTTGGTCCTGAGGATTGAACTCAGGACCTTGCACTTCCCAAGCAGGCACTCATACCGCTGAGCTAAACCTCCAGCCCCCATTTCTGTGTTTCTATTTGAAAATATTTTACTTTTGTCTTGAAAATCTCTTTGCTATTACTTTTAATGTGTGTCAGCTGATGAATTGTCTCTGTTTTTGTTTATCTGAAAAACTCTTTCCTTCATTTATGAAAGTTATTTTTAAGGGCTTTGCTCATGGTAGGCAAATGTTCTCCCCTGAACTATATCCTCAGCCACTGAAGAATATTTCTGATGGGTAAAGAATTTGAGATAGGTGGTTATGTATATCATTCCCTTTTTATTTTTATTTTTTTCTGGTTATATTTTATGTTGATAAATTGCCAAAACATTGCTCTTTTTGAAAGTAGTATGTTTCATTTCCTGACTGCTAAGATTTTCTCTGTGCTTTTTGGGAATTTTTTTATGATGCATTTGTGTGTCTGTGTGTGTTTACACAAATTCCACTAGCAGCTTTTAGAACTTTTAGCATCAGTTTCCATAAAAGTATATTATGTATCTATGAAATCCTTCAGTTTCTTCGGTTTTCCAGTCTTCTGTTTTAAGTTTATTAATGATCTTATCTGCTATATGTAATTTACTATTAAATATTGAATCTATTATTAAAGGTTTTTCAGTTTTTGAATTTCATCTGATAGTTAACAAAATAAATTGTAGTTCCTTGATGAACTTCTTTATCTTTTGGTATTTAAAACATTAAATCTTTAATTTTTTTTCTTTTATTTTTCTTAGAACGTTCATAATTATATTATTTGCTTATTTGTTCTTGTCTTTCTTTTTGGTTTAAGTTTTTACTTGAACTGTTTTTTTTATTTCATATTATCTTTTTTTTTGGTACCTGAAATTGAACTCAGGACCTTGCATTTAGCAGGCAGGCACATGTTCCCCTGAGCTCTATCTTGGCCCCCTTCATTTCATATTCAGTTAATTCCTAATTTATATAATTCCTGAGGTTTTCTAATTCTGATGTATGTTACTCTCATCTTCTATAATGATCTTCTTTCTTTTTAAAGCTTGTTTTTATTTCTTAGTTCTGTTTTATGGGCACATCTTTCTGTAAGGACATTATAATGACATCAAAAAAAAAATTCCTGTCTTTAAAAAGTAATTATTCTCAGTAGAATTAAGTCATTATTCTTTTGATTAGTTTTACCTAAAATTACTTTTGCTGAATTCTTAAGAGAACATTCTTGACCAAGAATGGTTTTGTAGCTTTTTATCTCTAGAATGTTCCCTTCTGTCCTCCCCAAATTTTTGAAAGCACAAGCACAATTTTTATGGGTAGAGAGACAGTATTATGCTTCCTAGAATCAGCCTCTACACCTTTCCCCCCTCTTGTATGTGGGCTTTTACCCTCTTTCTTATTCTGTTTTGCTCACTTTGGATGTTATTCCCAGTGATTTCTCTTCGAAAGAGATCTGACCCTTTTAATTTTTTTTTCAAATCCATTTTATTGAAGGATAGAAAGAAAGGGAGGAAGAGGAAGAGGAGGAGATGACAACAATGGTATACACATTGCGCATTGTCATCCCCAAATCATTTACCCAGAGTGCAATACCACGGAGGAGAGGAGAAGCGGGGAGGGGAAGGGAGAGGACGGGGATAGGCAGGAAGAGTCAACAATGGTACATACATTGCGCATTGTCATCCCCAAATCATTCACCCAGAGCACAGTACATCTGCATTTAGTCATCCGAACAATACCAGCACAAATCTTTCTCTTCAGTGAACTCAAAGAAATCAGTAGTATCACTATCTTAAGTATTTTTTATATACATGTACATACACATACATATGTTTTTTTCTTTCAGCTTGTCACAGTAGTGAAACAATATGATGTTTACACGTGTGTGTCTTATTTATTTCACTAATGAGCACATTCTCAAGATGCATCCATTTACCTATAAAGGTGACTAGTTAATCTTTCTTTATGGCTGAGTAAAACTCTGTAATATAAAAATAACACATCTTTTTTATCCATTCCTCATTTTTTATCCATTCCTCATTTAGGTTGTTTCCAAGATTTGGCTATTATAAACCGTGCAGCTCTAAACATGGGTGCACGTATATCACTGTGGTATGATGTTTTTAATTCTTTTGGGAAAATACCCAGAAGGGAATAACTGGGTTGAATAGGACCTCCAATCCTACTGTTTTGAGGAACCTCCATACTAATTTCCATAGCAGTTGTACCAGTCTGCATTCCTACCAACAGTGGAGAAAGGTTCCTCCAGTATTTGGTATTTGTTATTTCTCTTTCTCTCTCTCTCTCTCTCTCTCTCTCTCTCTCTCTCTCTCTCCCCCCCCCCCTCCCCTCTCCGCTCTTCGCTCTCCGCTCTCCTCTCTCCTCTCTCCTCTCTCCTCTCTTTCTCTCTCTCTCTCTCTCTCTCTCTCTCTGGCATTGGCCATTTTTACTCTATTGGTTCTTCCTACCCAAGAGCATGGGCGATCTTTCCATTTTTTAATATCCTCTTCAATCTCTTTTTTTTTCAGAGTACTGTAGTTTACAATGTAGGGTCTTTTGCATCCTTTGTTAGATTGATTCTTAGGCATTTCATTTTTTTTGCATGCTATTTCTCTCTCGATGAGTTTGTTATTTGTGTACAGGAAGGCTATTGATTTTTGAGTGTTGATTTTGTAACCAGCTACATTACTGAATTTACTGATTAAATCTAGAATTCTTTTTGTGGAGTTTTTGGGGTCTTCTAAGTAGAGTATCGTATCATCTATAAATAACGATAGTTTAACTTCTTCCTTTCCTATCTTTATTCCTTTGATTTCTTTCTCTTGTCTAATAGTTCCAGCTAACGTTTCCAGGACAGTGTTGAATAAGAGTGGAGACTGTGGACATCCTTGACTTGTTCCTGATTTTAGAGTGAAAGCTTTCAGTTTTTGTCCATTTAGTATGATTTTTTATAGATGGCTTTTATCAGGTTGAGATAAAGACCATCTGTTCCAATTTACTGTAGGGTTTTTTTTTTTTATCATGAATAGGTGCTAGACTTTGTCAAAAGCTTTTTCTGTATCTGTTGAAATGATCATATGATTTTTGCCCTTGGCTCTATTAATAGGGGTATTACATTTATGGATTTTTGTATGTTGAACCATCCCTGCATCCCAGGAAAGAATCCCACTTGATCATGGTGTAAAATCTTTTCGACAGTTTGCTGCAGTCTGTTTGCCAGTATCTTATTGAGGATTTTTGTGTTGGTATTCATTAGGGAGATTGGCCTGTAATTCTCTTTTCTTAGTTGGTTCCTTCTCTGGTTGGGAATCAGAGTACTGTTTGCTTCCAGGAATGGATTTGGGAGTACTGCTTCCCTTTCAATTTCATTAAAGGGTTTGAGAAGTAGTTGTGTTAAGGTTTTCACTAAATTTCTTGTAGAATTCAGCAGTGAATCTATCAGGGCCTGAGCTTTCCTTTGTTGATAGGTTTTTAATTACACCTTCAGTTTCATTTGTTTATATTGGATTATTTAGGATTTTTATATCTTTTTGATTCAGTTTTGGTAATTCATATGTATGTAAGAATTTGTCCATTTCTTCTGTATTTTCCATCTTATCAGAGTACAAGTTTTCATAGTAGGTATAAATGTATTTCTAAATTTCCACAAGGTCTGTTGTGATTTCACCCTATTCATTCCTAATTGTGTGGAGTCTTTTCTTTCCTTTTTTTTTGGGGGGGGGGAAGTTGGCTAAGGGTTTGTCAATTGTATTTAATCTTTCAAAGAACCAACTCTTAGATTCATTGATTCTTTGTATTGTTTTTTTTTTTTTCAGTCTCCAGTGTGTTAATGTTTCCTCTGATCTTTATAATTTTTTCCCTTGTACAAGCTTTTGGTTTAGCCTGCTCTTCTTTTTCTTTCTAGAAGTTTGAAGTTCAACATTAAGTTGTTTACATGTGCTTGTTCTGTTTTCCTGATATGGATCTTTAGTGCTATAAATTTCTCTCTTAAGACTGCTTTAATTGTGTCCCACAAGTTCTGGTATGTTGTATTGTTGTTATCATTCAACTGTAAAAACTGTGTAACTTCTTCTGTAATTTTATCTGTGATGCATTGGTTGTTCAGTAGGATCTTATTTTATTTTCTATGTGTTTATAAAGTTCTTGTGGTTTCCTTTTGGGTTGGATTTGCAGTCTCATTGCACTGTAGTCTGATAGTGCACTGATAGTGATGGGATAATTTTCAATTCTTTTGCATTTATTTACTTTAGAGCCAGTATATCGTCTGTTTTGGAGAATGTCCCATGTGCAACTGGGAAGAATGTGTATTCTGATGTTGTGAGGAAGAACACTGTAAAGACATCTACTAAGACCATTTGTTCAAAAGTTTGCTTTAGTTCTAATATTTCATTGTTGATTATTTGTCTAGTTGACATGTCTTTTTGTGACAGTGGGGTATTGAAGTCTCCCAGTACAATTTTATTAGGGCGTATTTGATTTTTCATATCTGTTAGTTATTGTTTTATGTATTTGGGTGCACTGGTATTTGTTGTATATATGTTTATGACTGTTTCTCTTCCTTTTGGATCGTTCCTTTTACAAGGATGTAATGACCTTCTTTATCTCTCTTAGTCTTGGCTGGAAATTCACTTTGATTGCAAATAGGAATATCTGTCCGTGGTTTTTTCTCGGTTCTTGTCACATGGACTATTGTTTTCCATCCTTTGCCTTTCAGTCTGTGAATTTCTTTTTTGAATTAAATGTGTTTCTTGTATGCAGCATATTGTGTCTTCTTGATCTATTCTGCCAGTCTGTGTCTGTTGACTGGAGACCATTAACATTGACACTGATATATATAGACTTAATCTTGTCATGTTATTTTACTGTTGTTGGCTCCTCCCCATTTTTTTCCTTCCCTCTAATTATTTGCCTTCCTGGTGGATTCCTTCTGTTGGGGTTCATAGAACTGTAGTCCTTGTTATCTTTTTCTAGAATGTTCTTCAGAACATTTTTAAGTGCTGGTTTGACGGTCATAAATTTCCTCAGATGTTGTCGTGGACGTATCTTATTTCTCCATCAATTTTGAAAGATAATTTTGTGCAATACATTAATCTGGATTGAAAGTTGTTTTCCTTTAGAATTTGGAGTACTTTACTCCAAGCTCTCCTTTACTTGAGCATTTGTGCTGAGAAGTCAACTATGATTCTGATGGGCTTTCCTTTATAGGTGATTTGTTAGTTTCCCTAACAGCTTTTAGGATTCTATTCTTGTGTTGAATTTCTGGAATCTTGACTGTGATATGCCTGGATGTAGATTTTTTTTGATCATTTCTATTTGGAGTCATATATGCCTCATTTATCTGTAAGTCAAATTCTTTTTCTCTACCAGGAAAGTTTTCTGTCATGATGTCTTTCTAGATTTTTTAATGTCATTTGTGGTATCCTTTGCTTGTTCATTGACTCCAGTTAACCTTACATTATTCTTTGTCTCATCTAGCAGTTGCTGGATTGATTTCTAATAGTCCCTTGCTAGTTTGAGAAATTTTTCTTTTCTTGGTTGCTAACTACAGTCCTGTCTTCAGTACCTGAGATCCTGTTCTCATAATGGCCTAAACTGCTTTGAATACTTTCAGTGGAGTTTTTATTCTCCTGGGTATCTGCATGAATCTACTTTATGGATTCCATTTGTTTCCTATGCTAAGCACTGATAATTCCATAATTTACTTAAACTCTCTCTCTCTTTTTTTAAATGTCTGTGTCTGCTCTAACATTGCTAAGCATGGTGTGTAGTTTGGTAATCTCTGTAGTGACTCGAAAGATTATTTCTGATTTCATTTTTTCCAGAACCTCATTCAGTTGCTTTGTTGTTACCACTTAGAGAGACCTGTTGGAGGGCTTTTGGACTGTCCTACCACAATGCCCCCTGGATTTGCCTTTGGTGAACTGAATGTCTGGGGTTGTATTTGTTTAAATGTCTTCCTTTTTAGTTTAATTCCTGGGGTGATGCTTGTAAATTACCTATGTGGTTACTTTATTGGTGGTATTTAGAACCGTTAGGTGATGATTACTTCTCTGAGATCTTACCTCTTCAGTTTGTTGGAGATGAGAAGTTTTTGCTTGCTTGTCCTAGTCTCTGGTTCTTTGGTACTGTGCCACCATATTTTCTGTGACTTTTTGTTAATCTCAGTCCTGCATTATCAGTGCCAATAGCTGTTCAGAACAATTGTGTCAATTTTGGCTGTAGTGATACAAATAAAAAACAAGCTGTGCTAACCCTTAATTTGCAACTGTTAGCCATGTGAACTAGATTTGTGACCATATAATGAAATGCAATACAAACCGGACAATTATATGCAATATGTGAGTCTGTAATGGGTTAATTTTCCCTTGGGTTAAATTTTAAAATGAATTAAGGAAAAAACAGAAGTGGAAGAAGAAAAAGAGATTAGAAGTAAGGTTGGAGGACAAAGGGGGATCATGCCAACTCCATGAAACTGGTGCAGAAGACTGTAGGAAAAGAGATGTAAGAGATAAAAGGAAGAACAGAACAGAACCACACCCACAAAAAGGTTAGCAATAACTCTTTCACTCATAAAAAAAGCAATGAAGGAGAAAGAGAAAAAAGCTGAAAACAAAACAAAAAATTAAAAACAATGAAAAAGGGATAGTCCACTTCCAGGATTCCCTCTGGTTTCACCAGTAGACAGTCTGTGGAGACAGAGTCCTGAATCATGCCACTCTACCTCAGCAAGCCAGTAGTGGCTTTAGGGCTGAGTAGTTGATAACCTCAGCAGGCTGCCGAGACCAGACTCACTGGGCTCGCTGCAGTACAAGAAATTTCCACTGGTCTGCGTCCAGCTAGGAGCTGCTGGAGGAAGCCTGCAGCAATCCTGGTTCTGGGCTTGTCCGGTTGGACCTCAAAGTGGCTCCTGGCCAGTCACTCTCTCCTGCCGGAGGACTTGAGTCCTCTGCCCTCACCACCAGCCTGTGCTGTCCTCCACGTCTGCTGCCCCTCTCCACTGCTGTGTCACTGCAGAGTCCTCTGTGGTCGTCACCATCACTGTGAACGTGCATCCCTAGGTTCCAACAGCTCCTCTTGCACAGTGAGTCTGGCTCAGGAAGAAGGCACTGGTAGCTCCTGCCTTCTTCTTCTTCTTTTTATTCTTTCTGTGGGCTTTGCAGTTACTTCCTTCTTATCTTCCCCACGATGTTGTATTCTAGCGTCTGCTGCTTACCACTCTACCATCTTCCTGGAGGTCTCCCTTTTGGGTTCAAGAGTTCATAGGGATCAGAGTTTCCTAGATCTTTCAGGACTTAGCAGGAAACCTGAATTTCCTCCAGCTTCACTTTCTGTTCTCAACGTGATCGCTGTAATGTTCAGTGAAGTACGTTTTTGAGATTTCTGGATTCTTCCGTTCACAGTGCCATCATGTACTCTGTTTTTTTGCTGTGCCTTTCTTTGCTTCCTTTCCATGTGCCAGCGAGTCTGTTAGTTGTTGGTGCATTGTTCCTACTCGCTCAGATTTTAGGTTTTGTGAGGTATTTTGTTACAGACAGTTGAGGTATTTGTTACAGGTGTAGTCGTGGATTTTTGCTTTGTTGTTCTAGTTGTGCTGTTAATTTCAATAATAAATGGGATATGTTTTATCATTTTTTTCTTGCATCTATTGAGATATTGTATGGCTTTTCATCCTCATTGTGTTATTGTGATGAGTTATATTATTTAGGGCTTAAAAAAAGGCCAGATTATACTTTCTTTAGATAAATTCAACATGGTCATGATACTTATGATACTTTTGGATATGTTGATAGTTCAGTTTTTAATCTGTGTTCTATCTCTAGTTACATCTTTTCATTTCTAATATATTTATGTCTTCTTAATTAGTGTTACTGAAAGTATGTCTTTTTAAAGTACTTTTTACTTGAATTTTTCTTTTCGCCTTCTGTCTGTCTCTCCCTCGCCCTGCCCCTTTCTCCCCTCCCCCCACCCCTGCTCCCTGCCTCTTCCCCTTTTTTCGAGAAAAGTCTCTGTAGTTCAGGTCAGCCTTGAACTCATTCTATAGCCCAGGCTGGCCTCAAACTTTTTGCAGTCCTCCTGCCTCAGCCACTTGGGTGCTGGGATTACAGGCATGTGCCACCATATCCAGTTTTTCTCTTAGTATAAATTAGTTATCATTTTCCTGCTGTTTTCTTTGTATTTATTTTGTTGTTCAATTCCTACTATAGTAAGTTTTTTTACTTAGCTCATTTATTTTTATTGTTTAAGGGATTATCCTGAATTTTTTTTTTTTTTGGTACTGGGGATTGAACTCACGACCTCTTGCTTGCCAGGTAGGCGCTTATGCCACTGGGCTAAATCCCCAGACTCATATCCCCGGCCCCACATCCTGAAATTCTTATAAATATATTTAGTTAAAAGTAAAATACTTTAGGGGCTGGGGATTTAGCTCAGCGGCATAAGCGCCTGCCTTGCAAGTGCGCAGTTGTAAGTTCGATCCCTGGTACCAATTTAAAAATAAAATAAAAATAAAATACTTTAAAATAAAAAATACTTTCTGTATAAAACAATGCCAGAAAGATCACAGTTCTTTAACATATAGCTCAAAGAATTAAATAAGGTAAGTAAATTCATATATCTACAAGTGAAAAAAAGAAAAAGAATAGTATCACAAATGTTTGATACCTAGTGAGTAGGCACTAAATGTTTGCTTTTGCTGTTACTGTTGTTAGGTGTTACTGCAAAACATGTCTCTTTTAGATATCGCAGAATAGTTAGTATACAGTTATTCATAGATTTGAGTAGCAAAATAGAACCCTTGTGACTTTGAAAGAGGCATTAATTCAGAGTCTCTAGAGAGTATTTGATCGAGGGATTGATTCAGAATGTGTTTTAAAAGACAAGCCAGTCCCATTTTCAATTACAGTTTACTTATTCAAAACATTGGTGAGTTATATTTTGTAATTTCTTTAAAATCTCTTATTTTTCCTGTGTTTTAAAGGTCAGATACTTCATACTGATGTGGTTTACTTGCATTGTGGGCAAGGCTTCCGAGAGGCAGAGAAAATCAAGAGACTTTTGCTGAATTTCAAGTATGTAAATAAGTAATCATTTGAATATTTCAGTGGCTCAGCCAATCAAAAATAACTTTGAAGTCCCAAGCTTGGAGGTGGGATTGAGGGAAGTACTTTGATGCGAGACAGGGACCATTGTAAAGCACTGCTGGGGCAAACTGCTGCAAAACTCTACGTGTAGAGACTCGAGAAGTGTGGTTCCTTCCCTCTGCCAGCTTCACAGAGAGGGGTGGTGATACGGGCGAGTGTGAGCACTTATTTCTTCTGTCTGACTGATCATCACCTGCCCTTCTTTTGTTCTTCCTTTCCTCCTTCCCTTTCTCTATGAGGGATGAAGGAAATAATAGTTAGAAGTTTCAGAAATTGCCAAGATAACATATAAAGCAATTATAATGTCTTTATTATGGCTCAGAATGCTCCAGTTTGCTTTTTTTGTGTGTGATTTTAGCAGTTTTAAATTATGTATAAGAGGAGTTTATATCTGTGTCTTCTCATTTGTTTCTCCATTATATTTGCCCTCTTACTTCTCTGCTTGTTGATATTTGAGTTGGTTTTCTAGGATCTTTTGGTGGTCTTTGTCCAGCTTTAGCCTGGTGATAACTACCTTGCAGGGATGAATGCCCACGTAGACAGTTGTGCCATTTGCCTTTTCACCCTGCACCCATTCGGTGTAGATGACATATTTCTTCCTGTAAATGTGGACACCTTTGCCAGTCTGCTAACCTTTATTTTGTCATTGCAAAACCTGACCTTCATCCTACTGTTGGATGGATACAGACAGAACATTGTATTTCTGTCTCAGCTATTTAGAAAGAAGGGAAGATACAATCTTTTGCAAATGTGGGCAGGTGTATTGAAATGGATTTTGCTGGGGGTTTTTGTTGTTGTTGTTGTTTGTTTGTGTTTTTTGGTCCTGGGAATTGAACTCATAACATTGCAGTTGCCAGAGCTATATCCCTGCTGAGCTATATCCCCAGCCTGCTTTTACTGTTCTTGCTTTGGTTTGAAATCACAAAAAGATTGGCTGCCAAAGCTTCAGTGATGGCTATGAAAGGGTCCAGAGCTTAGTTTTTTGTGGTGGCTATAATTTTGGCTCCTTGTAGATGGTAGTGAAGCAGACTAGGTGTTGTTGAAATTGTGTGACAGTATATTATTTTTCCACCGTTTCCTCTTCCAGATGAAAGTCACTGTCTTTTTATTTTACTGAAGTCTGTTTTCCTTGTGAAATAGTGGAGAGGTTGCTTGGACGTATGAGAGAATAAAAGCATTGTATAATAGTATTTGTGCATTCTGTACATTTTCTCTGGTTGATTTCAGAGCTTGCCTTGAATTCACCCCGTTTCTCATTCCATTTCTCCCTTGAAGCTGCAGCACAGTAGTGATTGGAAATGGAACTGCCTGCCGGGAAACTGAAGCTTACTTTGCTGACCTGATAATGAAAAATTACTTTGCACCACTGGATGTTGTTTACTGGTAAGGATGTTAGGAATATTTGTTTCCTTGGAGAGGCATGGTAACTTCTGAAGCTCCTTTGGTGATGAATTCTCCTTTTTCCTTTTAAGATATGTGTCTTGTTGTTTCTACAAACTACCTCTTGCTGATGATAAGAGCTTTGTGGGATGATTTAAATTGTCTGTCTCATGGAGAGATTTGGGGCAGGAATGATTAGAGCAGAACAAGGTCCTGAAAACTCTCACAGAGAGCGTGTTGAGCCTTCCTGATTGTTGTGGGATTTTCCAGACTGAGTGTATATTGGGTGAGCACCCTAATGAAGTACTGACTCATAAAGCAGTAAGTCAGGAAGACAAACTGAGGGCAACCGTAGAGGATTAGGAGAAGTTCATACAAACTGTAAGTGCAATGGAACGTGTTTCCCAAAAGGACCAGATTGAAAAGGACTTCTGAGCTCTTTCGCCTTTTCTTTTTCTGTTATTCTAGCTGGGTACAGCGTGGGGGTGTGGGGTGTGGGCCGCGGGGCTGATACTGTGAATCTCCCCTGTTCTTGGGACTGAAAACCTGCATCTAGTCCTTTTGCAGACCTAATACAAGCCCTTGACAGAACTGATTGTTTATTTCAAGTAGTGCCTCCCATCTTTTTTTTTTTTTTTAACTTTACTAGTTCACGTTAATTTGATGAAACTATCTTCTGTACATTTGTAGTGATTATAAATACAAGTTTCAAATAATAAAAAATATTTATTAAAAATGTCCCAAATTTCACCTGTATTTGGCATAGAGTATGCCTTTGTAGATCTAGAGATGGTGTATAAGAAGGGATGAGCCACAGAGTTAGACAAATCTGGGTTCATCTTTTGTTTTCATCGTTCACTAGTTACACATTTAGAGGAGTTTCTTAGCTTCTCTTATCTTCACTTTACCCCTCATCTTTTTTTTTTGGTGCCGGGGATCGAACCTATGACCTCGCGCTTGCCAGGCAGGCACTTAAGCCACTGAGCTAAATCTCCAGCCCCCTTTTACCCCTCCTCTTTAAATGAAAAAAGGAATACCTACTTCATAGGATTCTTAGGAATATTAAAAGTGAAATAACTTACCTTAAGACAAAACATCAAAGCTTTAATAAATAATACAGTGTGTTTGCTTATTAGAATGTGTTTATATTTTTACATCATTATAATATATATATTTAAAATTGTGAAATTATATAAGGGCAGTGTCATCTTGAGCAAATTGATAGTTATACATGTGTATATATTTGTGACAAATGATTTTCCCAGTTCATCTTCTGGCTTTAATTATGACCAAGACAAATCCATAAGACAACAGAAAAAAAATGTAACTTCCAGATTGTTTTTTTTTTTTTTTTTTTTTTTTAGTATCGGGGAATCGGGGATCGAATTCACAACTATGCACTTGCCAGGCAGGCACTTATGCTGCTGAGCTAAATCCCCAGCCCCTAGATTGTTTTTCTAGATATACTATATAAAGAACTCTTAGAAATCAATAATACAGGAACAATGAACTATTGCAAAGAATACAAACCATAGATGATTAACAAAAATGTCTTCTTAGTACTGTATATGAAATAATTTTTATCATTCACAAAAAAAGAAATACAAATCAAAACTTTAAAAAGATACCATGTTTTACCTGTGAGCTTGACTGAAATAGAGTTTGGTAACATTGTGTCAGTGATGGGGGTAGGTAATTGAATACTTTATAGTGGAAATGCAGATTGTTACAGCTTCCCTGGAGCACTGTTCGGTAAACTATCACGATGGTATACTCTCAGGCCTTTCACTTCTGGGTAACTGTCACAGCTAAACTCTTACACAGAATGACTTGTGGTCAGGAATATTCTTTGTTCACAACCGTTTTAGTATATGAGCTACTGAAGCAAGCACTGTTCATAATTGTTTAACAAGTACTGATTTCTATGTCACTGAGTTTAAAAAATCAAGACCACAGGACAAAGTTTATCTCTCGTCAACCTTCTCACACCATCTTCCATGGAATTTAACCTTTCTTGATTTTCCATCTTGTCTCTCTCTCTAGGCTGTTTTGTGGTTAAGTTTTTTTTTTTGTTGTTGTTTCTTTTCTTCAGTTCACTAGCTTTTCCTTTAGCTGTCAAACTCATCCCCTGAATTTTTAATTTTGGTTTTTATCTGTCTTGTAGAAATCCTATTTGTTAGATTTTCAGCTTTCTTGAGAGGTACTTGACATGAGAAACTGCACATACATTCTGTAATTTTATGAGTTTTGGCACATGTGTGCTCCCATGCAACTATCACTTTAATTAAGGCAATGGACATACTTGTTACTCCCAAATTTCTCTGTATTCCTTTTAATCCACCTTTCTCTCTCTATCTGTATCTTCTTCTAGGGAACCTCTGCCTTGCTTTCTATAGTTATGAAAAGTTATAGTTTGTCTTTTATACACTTTCATATAATAGAATCATATAGCATATGACTTCTTTCACTCAGCATAATTATTTTGAGATTTATTTGTGCAACAGTATACACTATTTTTTTTTAAATGACAAGTATTCGGTTGTACTGTAATTATTATTATTATTCGGTTGTATTGTAATTATTGTATTTATTCATCTGTTGGTGGACATTGAGGTTGTTGCCAGTTTTGGGTTCTTATAAATAAAGGAGCATGAGCATTTTTGGACAAGTCTTTTTGTAAACGTAAGCTTTTATTTCTGTTTGGTAAATAATCGATATGAAAAAGCTGTGTTGTGTGGTAGGTATCCGATTAACTAAAGAAACTGCCAAAGTGTTTTTCAAGGTATTGTACCATTTTACATTCCTACCAGCAGTTCCACTTTCTCTATATCCTAATGGGATTATAAAATTGTAGTCTTAACTTTAGCTGTCCTAATAGATGTCTAATATGTCATTGTGGTTTTGATCTGTGTTCTCTTGGTGATTGATGGTGTAGCATGTCTTCTTTTGTTTACTTGCCTTATTTGTGTCTTCTTTGCTGAAGTGTATGTTTAAATCTTCCCATTTAAAAAAATGGATTGTAATAAGAGTAATTTTTATTTGTTCTGAATAGCAATCTTTTGCCAGGGATATGTTTGTAAAACACATACCAGTTTGTGGTTATGATTTTGTTTGTTTGTTTGGTTTTTGAGACAGGGTCTCTGCCATGTAGTTCAGGCAATGCTTGAACTCACTAGGTATTCCAGGCTAACCTTGAAGTCAAAGTGATTCTTCTGCCTTAGCCTCTTGAGTGCTTGAATTACCAGCATGTTGCGCCATTGCCTGGCTTTTTCATTCTTCTTAAAATAAAAAGCCTTCTTTTTTTTTTTGGTCTTTTTCCTTTCTGTCGGTACCAGGGATCATCGAACTCACGACTGCCTGCTTGCAAGGCAGGCACTTACGCCGCTGAGCTAAATCCCCAGCCCCGGAAGCCTTCTTTATCAAATTTTAGATACCTTTTGTTTTTTGCTTTCTATTTAAGAGATGTTTGGGAAAATCAAGGTCATTATAATTTTTTTTAGAAATTTTATACTTTTAGTTTTCATTTAAATCTAGAATTTTTAGCAAATTAACATCTATCCATTTAGTTTATTTCACATAAATTTCTCGTCTCTAGAAGTTCTTTTTTCAAATCTGCTGGATTATTTTTAGAGTTTTTGGTTGTTATTGAAGATGTTTTCAAACCTTTATTTCCTTATCTATATTAAGATTCAGGTTTTATAGCCTATTTTCTATCCAATATCTTTGCATGTTATTTCTGCTATCTGTTGTTACTGCTGTTTCCTCTTCTGTTCATTGTTTTTATTATACATTCTTGATTTTCATGGGACTTCTTTTTCTGTGAGAATTCATTGAGGCCTGCATTGATAGTAATTGCTTCAAAGAGGATTTGCATTTGGTTCTGACAGGCTCCTGTAGATACTGTACAACCAATTTGAGATCACTTAAATTAAATTCTCAGCTTGAGCTTTTTTTCCTGACCACCCAGGTAGTGTGAATTTAGACTGCAAACTAGAAAGATGACTTACGGTCTATGTTTTCATCAGCGGTTCCCTCCATCAGCCTGTGACAAGGTCTGAGATAGTTCAGATCCATTGTGATCTCCTGGGGTTTAGGATGTAGTGAGTTTATTTCTATTTTACCTTTCTACCATGGCACGGGGTCTCCTTACCGTTATACCTTATCCATTTGGAATCCCAGTTTTACATGTATGAGAATAGTAAAAGAAACTCTTGTTCATACTTCCTTAGGTGGACCCTGAGTTTTGTCTTTTATTCCTTGTATTCTGTGAAAACTCTGTGAGACCATGAAGCTGGAAAGTAAATGTTATCCTGTTGAGCAGTTGTTCTCTGCCAGAAGTCAGTTTCATAAATCAAGCCTTCCATTTATACTGCATTACTTTACCTTTAGTATTTCTTTCTTGCCAACTCATAGATGCATGTACAAAGATGTGTTAGAGTTAGGATTTTTGGTTGTTTTCAGTAATAAATTAACCTAAGTAGGTAATTTATCACACTACTGGGATATGGAGGTTACCACTTTAAATTTATATTTTCTGTTTTAAATTTGGTTTAAATTTAAAATGTGGTCTTTTCAACCACCAAAACCAAATTTAGATCACAAAAGAAGATAGATTTCGTCCTTTGGGTATTTAATATTCTGTTTTAAAAGTATGTCTCGGAGATTTTGAAAAATCCAGACAAGTTCAAAGAGGAATTATAAAATTATAAAAATAATCTATAATCTCCATATCCAAAAATAATGTTCATATTTTATTACTTTTCTTGTTTGTTGCAAGTAGTTTTCACATATAAATAAATGTTGTATTGAATGAGATAGACACAGTTAGAGGCAGGAGGGAAACTTTTTTTTACTACTACAACTCTTTAGCTCTGTTTGAATGAACTCAGATTTATCCTTGGCTAAGAAATGAACAGATCTCATAGCTGTTTTTAGTTCCTTAGTCATTAGAACAGTGTCATTTCAGCAGTTGAAGTATTTCTCTAGTGCAGTAATCGGAGCAC